AAAATAGAAATCATTTTACACTGAAAGTGAGTACACAATACCTTCATACTCTAAAAATAGAAATCATTTTACACTGAAAGTGAGTACACAATAATTTCATACCCTGAAAATAGAAATCATTTTACACTGAAAGTGAGTACACAATACCTTCATACCCTAAAAATAGAAATCATTTTACACTGAAAGTGAGTACACGATACTTTCATACCCTAAAAACAGAAATTATTTTAGGGAATATCAATCAATGCTGTTTACAAATTTCAGTTGAAAAACAGTGTTAGAAGGAGTCATAGTTAAGGTGATATGTTACCTTAAACATTATCTATAATTTGTGGCAGAGTTAACTCCCTTTAATTATATTGGTTACCTAATAAATCAATTTTTCAAATTTGCAGTCAAGATTTTAAGGGTATCTTCACCTTCATCTTGGACTTTGGAAAGTAGTAGAATTTCCTGCATTTTGCATTTTTCTTGAATTTTGTCATTGCACTGAAAATCTAAAACTATGACATTTGATGAAGTTATTTTGTCCAAAAGGAGTCAATGAAGTACATTTTCTATATTTTCCAGTCTCTCTCCCATACAAATTTGAATGCTTATTAAATATTCTAACATAGACAACTGCTTTTCAGTTTTAACCTATATACTGCAAAGAACTTTTTGATAACTTGTTTAACTCATTCACCCCTGGAGACACATGTGAACTCTTCCAGTTCAAAGGTTGGAATAGTTGATTATGAAATTTCAGGGGTGAGTGAGTTGAATTGAAGTCGATTAAAGTGTCACCAAGTAAAACAATGCATAAAATACTAGGGTTAATTGCTCTATCACACCATCCCTCATCCCAATACCTACATCAGCACTCTGTCTGGTTTCCATGGTTCCCAGGATAGCGTGGAGAGCTCCGATGTTGTACAAGATGCACGCCTGCTCAAACTTGACATCACCGATCGTGATCTCTCTGCCGAGGTGGATGTCCTCCCTGAAAATAGAACTCCCGACTCATTACACCGGCTAAGTAAGGCTCACAGTGATGTTGGTTTATATTGTAATTATTACTGTAGAAAAGTGTGGGAGAAAAATAATCAATCATTCCTGTGTGATGTAGACAGAGAAATATTGACCTTGGGATAAGATTTTTGAAGATAAGCACTCAGCAAAGCCTACTGTATACACAAACTATGACTATTTTTGGAAAGAGCAGCCAAAGGTATAATACTCAATGTTAGAGATCTGTGAAAGACCTTCAGTGCAAGCTGGTGCCATAATACTGATGTTCATATACTTAAGATGGTTTCATCTGATTGTGATGTCATGGTATGACAATTGCAAGGCATCATAAGTGATTGTGCAACATACGTATGAAGAAATGAATAAAAATTCAATGATGTATCAGAATCTGTTCTAGTGACTGCATTCTCTGATGGATAATAGATTTTTTCTAAAAATAGTAAAAGTGACCTTGACCTTTAACACAGTAACCAGGAATGAAGTTGATAGAGCAATAACAAAGTTTTTATAAAAATAGTAAAATTGACCTTGACCTTTAACACAGTAACCTGAAACATGAAGTGACATATGTACATACGTACATACAGGCTGAATCCTATATCCCCTGGAACTTTCGTTACGAGGGAATAATAAAGGCCATTGAGTGCAACCATGCAGTATAGACAAAGTTATATGTAACTCATATGACTGTTCTTTAACAGAATCTTTGGCCCCCTTGTGGGTGAGATAGGGGAATCTTCAGTTTCCAAACACAAACTTTAAGGGTGTTGAGGGTCAAGATTCCTAATCTCACCTCAAGGGGGAGAATAGGTCTTTTTCTTTTACCCTTTGGACCCTATCATATACGTAATGAATGTTAACATTACAGACTCAAAGCATTGTTGACATGACGTTGATGCATTGTTGACGTGACGTCAGTCATACAATTGTTATGAATTGGGGAATCCCCTGTTTCAATCCTAGGGAAAGGCAAGGATATCTCACACCTGTAAAAGTGTGGATACACCTGTCCAGGGTAAGAGAAAAAGGGTATCTTACATACATAGAGAAATTGTTGACCATAATATGTGTACTACCAAACCTTTAGAGAATAGATGTTTTCTGTAATGCACCAGTTATTGGATTCTGATAAAAACTTCCTACTTCTAAAATGTTTCCATTCAGCTTTATAAATCCTTTCCAGTCTAATTGTTCACAAAGTGTCAATCTGAACATTCATGGCATTGGTTAAGAATCTAATGGATCATTTTGATTAGGTGCCATACTTTTTTATGATCCTTAATGTAGGGGAGAAGATAATGTACTGTACTTACCGGGTGAATGGTATCGCTGCTTCTCCTCCCTCCCCCATTAATGTACTGCACTTACCAGGCGAATGGTATCGCTGCTTCTCCTCCCTCCCCCATTAATGTACTGTACTTGCCAGGTGAATGGTATCGCTGCTTCTCCTCCCTCCCCCATTAATGGACTGTACTTACCAGGTGAATGGTATCGCTGCTTCTCCTCCCTCCCACATTAATGTACTGTACTTACCAGGTGAATGGTAGCGCTGCTTCTCCTCCCTCCCCCATTAATGTACTGTACTTGCCAGGTGAATGGTATCGCTGCTTCTCCTCCCTCCCACATTAATGTACTGTACTTACCAGGTGAATGGTATCGCTGCTTCTCCTCCCTCCCACATTAATGTACTGTACTTACCAGGTGAATGGTATCGCTGCTTCTCCTCCCTCCCACATTAATGTACTGTACTTACCAGGTGAATGGTAGCGCTGCTTCTCCTCCCTCCCCCATTAATGTACTGTACTTACCAGGTGAATGGTATCGCTGCTTCTCCTCCCTCCCCCATAGGGAACCGCCCCTGTAGGAACTGTAGCTGTGCATAGTATTTCTTTAGAGTACTACATCCCATGAAGTCATGCGAAACATGGACAGCACTCTGTAATTTTACATAATACAAAATTGTTATTATTTATTTTTGTACATGTGTATATTTCTGGGCAAATTTTGGTCTTTTCTTCTCAATAATTTTCAGCTATATTTTCCTGTAATAAGATAAAAAAATAAAAAAAAAAATGTTACAAATCAAAAATGCATTTATTTCACCACATACAAACCATTTTCTAGCTATACATGTATATTAAACACTTTGACAAAAGGTCTGATAGTTATGTTTTGTTGTGAGGAAATACATATTTTTCCATTGTTGTAAAAATGTGAAATATTTTCCTCATCAAAATAGCACAAGCTATGGAATGAAGGTAGAACAGTCACCATGGAGTTGATATAAAAACAATATTCAATGATTTCTGATCATTGAATACCATATTAATTTCATGAGTACGTAAGATGCGGTAGAATACAGAAATTTTTCACAGTTACAAAGCACAAATGAAAATTATTCTACATATATTCTACATTAGTGAAATGTACCATGTATAATCGCCGAGAAAAAAACACTAAATCTTCTATTCATTACATCACAGGGTCCCGATGATGGCCGTATACGTATAGCAGGCCGAAACATGTAGACCGTACATAACACGAAACGTCCTTGTGGGGTTGAGATTCCTTTATTCCTTGATTATTACATACTGAAACTACCCCAAATGATGAATTATTACTGCAACCAAAAACAGGAGTTATTAGCATTATCTTTGATATCACAATCTCATATTATCATATATGTGTCTTAGATCAGTTACGTATGATGTCACAGGTATATGCTATATCTTACCTGTCTGAGTTGTTCCAAGTCGTTACACGCCTTGTTGTACTGGGCTGGGTCTTCTCCATAGTTATCACGAATGTACTAAAAAAAAAAGAAACGTGAGAAAAAGATCGTTTTTGTGACTTATATGTATATTGAGTGTCTAACCCTGTCCGGTTGCACTTCGTTGTTGGGAACTGCATCATTTCTAGGTGTTCTCCATACAAAAGTTCTTTGAATCCAGGTATCCTCATCATTGTACATATATATTCTACCATTTGGATGTCTTTTAACTTGTATGAATCTTATTCAAAACACTTTGTTGCATATATTCCAAACGTGGTTTTATCAGTGCCTTGGAAAATTGTTTAAACATTTCAGGGGTGTACATTTCCACGTACATTTCCACCAATAGCCAGCTGACACCCATGGCTGGTAGGTTTTACATTGTGGCTAGGGGAAATGTTCAAAATTTACAGTTAAAATATAGTTTGACTTTGTGTAACTTTTTAAAATCAACCCGAGGGCTATTATTCTAAATATGATATTGTACACCCCTGCATTGATTCACATGTCCAAAAAAAGAATTTGCCCGAATAATATAATATTACATTTTATCACATACCTGTTGAATCTTGTTATAGTAATACAACCAATTTTCAGGCCATGAAATACAACGTTCTGTATTACACACGTGCAATACCGAATGTTGTATTTACCTACTAGCTTGAACTACTTTTTATGGGAATCCCCTTGTCATGGAGAACTGAAAAGTTCCCGGTATTTGCAAAAAATATCAACAAAGTTTATTAAATCTTTGTATCGATCTCTACAAAATACGGAAGGTATGTGATAAAAGCAAGACCACACACTTGTGTTTTTCTAACGAATCAGAAAGCACTCACTTATTGCGCGGACGAATATATACATCCGCGCAGTAAACTCGTGCTTTCTGATTCGTTAGAAAAACACAAGTGTGTGGTCTTGCATATATATTTTTAGTGTTCAAAAATCTAGCATGTCATTGACTGTTATACTGAAATTGTTTTCGACAGAAATTTTCTGAATGAACTTCTTCATCTGCCACCTTATTAATCTGGTTCACCACACTGCTATAGTTGGGTATCAACATTTTAAACATTATATGTGTGGCGGATTTTTATTGTACATATGATTACGGTGGCCTTTTAGCTTTGCACTTGAGAGAATTTCCCTTAGTTCGTGGTAGAATCCGACTAGAAAGTCTGGGATTGCAGGTTCAATCCCTGGAGGAAGCTAGCACACAACTCTATTTCCTGTTACAAATGGGGTCCGTGGCCCTCCCTGTGGTGTCAGACAGGGAGTTAGAACCTGGGTTGTTGTGGTGTTTGAGGATGAACACATTTAAAAAAGGGGGAATCTATATATAGTGTCACAGATTCTTATTGTACATATGATAACGGTCACCTTCTAGCTTTGCACTACAGGGAGTTTCCCTTAATTAGCTCAGTGGTAGAGCGTCCGATTATTAAGTCTGGGATTGCGGGTTCAATCGCCGGTGGAAGCACACTACTCTCTCGCCTGTTAACTATGTAAGTTAAAATATTTGAAATAAATATAGCACTGATGTGAGAACAGAAAATAAAGAAGATATTTCATAGTAATGTTTAATTATTTGCAATATGTTAAAACAAAAGTCAACATATTGTATATTTTACATCTGGGAAAGACTTTTACAGGGACAGATCTAGAAGAGTGAGGAAAATAGAAAGGCCAGAATAAATGTAGGGCATATTAATCATTATTTATATAACATTATATATACAACAAGATCAGTGTTCTCCCCAGAATGATTTGAAAGCTAGAAGCATGGTGTTTCAATATTTCTGTTAAAGCAGCACTCTATGTGTTTAATTAAAGCAGCTTGGTTACTTGAGATTTACTATGAATATATAGTAGAGAAGATCTAGGATAGCAGCATGGCAAGAAATTCTAGGAGCATGGTGCCACGCTGCAAATTGATAAATAGTTTTGTTTGATTTCAAGAGTGTTATTTCTAAGAAAGGAAATAATGGGACCAGATATCAAAGCCGGAATAGACATGCATCCGGATTAAACAGGGGTCAGTTGACACTGGTTTTACTTATTTTTGTGTCATCTGTTATGGTCTGTAAAAAATTGTAACATTTTATATAAATATATAGAATGAATATTTGTTAGTGAACCAAATGGAGAATCTCGTCATTCTAACAGAAAAAAACGTCATAACACAATTGAAATAATCATCTTATTCTAAATGAAAAGAGTTCAAATGTTAACTTCCTGAGCCCGAGGCAACACTAGTCTCATGACTATTAGGATATGACTGGAATAGTATTAGGTGTAATTCACGTAATTCAACCGGCATGATAATGAGTCATATTCGTCGGCAAAATTGCATGCAATGATCCAATAACGCTCTAATCTAAGTTCATAATTATATAATAGTGATCTAAGTGCGAATTTACGTTTAAAGACTTCTTAAGAAGGCGTTCGTGATACAAACACCCAAAAATGACACATTAGCGTTTTACGTCAAAATATTGGGATGTCAACAACCTCAAAACATCGATGTTGTTTTAAGTGAGAGGAAGATATCGAGCAAGAAAAACGTGTCACCTTTGACATCAAACTCGAGAGTTAACTCTTAAGTTTCTCACCTGTTTTAAAACCGGACCGAAATCGACATATTCTGGACTTTGTTTCAACTCAAACGATAACATCGGCATCCGAGGCACAGCCTCCATTTTTTTAATGTTGTTTAACGAGAGCTCATCGAAGGGAGGTAACTCAGTTACACATGTCAATCGGATTTGATGTATACCCATATATAGATCACAGGCATTTGTTTCTATCAATGAAAATAGTCATGACAAAAAGAGAACACCCTACTCATATGATATACCGTATCCGTTCCTTATTTCAAAATATAATTCGTAATAACAGCTAGACATTTGTTACCTCCGTTGCAGTTCAGCCCCCGACTCCACTGAACCTTCTACTATATGGCTCCCTCCCCACCCCATACCCTCTACAAATCCAGGATCCGCGCCTGACATGACTTGTAATACGCTGACTGAGTATTTGTATTTTATCAGAAATTAAGAACACAAGACATGGATGTAATTTTCAATGTTATGGTTCAATACTTTTAATTCAGAATATTCAGAGTTAGCACGCGTACGGACTTAGATCTAATTCCGTGGAGTTAGTGACTTTGTACTACATCTGAATAAACAAAGTCTAACTCAAGTTCTGTTGCGTAACTGTCTTTATGCCTGTTTAGTGACTGTAATTTTATTGTGAATGTACGTATGCTACATATCTGTCTGTTCGTTTGTTACGTATCTGCACGGAATTAGATTAGATGCTATCTAAGTCCGTGGTATCTGTCTGTAAGTCAGTTGCTGTGTAACAAATGTCTAGACAGATATGTAACTGACGTACAGACAGATGAACAACAAACATGCAACAGACATAACGACAGATACGTAACACTAGACATAAAGACAGATACACAGCAACTGGTGTACAGACAGATGCGTAACACACGTGCGTACATCTACGTGACAGACCGTACAGACAGATACACAGCAACTGGTGTACAGACATATGCGTAACACACGTGCGTACATCTACGTGACAGACCGTACAGACAGATATACGTAACAGACTTACAGACAGACACAGGGGCGGGTCCCGGTGAGGGCGTAAACCCTTTTCAAAAAAAATAAAAACTTTCGTTAGATGCTAATATTGTATTGAATATGGCAATTTATCATATTCATTGATTAAACACATAAACACCCTGACACTTTAACTATAAAATATACATGCTCAAAGTCAGGAACCGTTACATTAGTGCATTTCACAATTATTTTATGTTTTTTAGCAAAAAAAAAGGTCCAAAAAGATTTCATTCTACGACCCCTCTTTCAAATATCCTAGAAACGCCCCTGAGACACGCAACACATGTAGACACAAACGTGACAGACGCACAGACAGATACATGATAGACGTACAAACAGACGCGCAACATACGTGACAGACGTACAGACAGTTGCACAGCGTTTTTGGGGCCGAAACATCTGACGATTCGCCCCAAAACCGAAACGCCCCAAGCTGATTCATATCGCCCAAACCAATTCGCTCCAAACATCTATTACGCCCCAAATATTTCGCCCCAAAAAACATCCCCCCCCAAATTTCTTTCACGAAAGTCACTTATTTGACAAATTTTAAAGTAAAATATCTACTTTTTATGTAATATTCGTAAAGATAGAAATGAAAAAAATAAGATCTGTTGCAATTCGCTTGAAGTTTGGGACATAATTCTTGTGCCGTAGATCGATAACTTACCATATCTATAGTATGTATTGAAGGCATGTATTTGTATATTTTAGATAATATGTATAAGTGTATAAGATAATTAGGTTATAATTATACACGCGTGCAGTAGATTGAACAAAACATCCAACAAGATCCATTGTGCTATATGTGTGTTGCAAAAGAGAGTGTGTACTTATATTTGTATAAGTAATATTTTCATTTTTCATTAACAAATTAAAAACAAAACTATAAAAAAACAAAACAATCGTGTTCTGCCTAGTTACATTCTACCGGAGACGTACAATTGTATATATGTACTATTTCAAACCAACTTTATCAGTTTCGTTCTTCATTGTGGAAAAATTGAAACAGCTGATATTCATCAGAACTATTCGGAATGAAGTAATTTTATCAATACGTGAGGCCAAAGAAAAATATCTTTCAAAATTACAATCTTCTCTAATAGACAAATCCATACCCCCGAGGAAATGGTGGCGTGTTGCAAAATCTGTTATGAATCTTAAAAATAAATGTGAAATTGACTCTCCTTTGGTTATTAATGGCATACTCAAAATACATCCCGTCGACAAAGCTGAATCTTTTAACGATTATTTTTCATCAATATCTGAGACCGGAAAGAATGCTGATGATTTGCCAACCGACTGTAACCGGCCAGAGCACAGCTTCTCGACATTTGACATTACAGAACAGGACATCATTGACCAGTTTCACCTACTCAATACTAATAAACTCCAAGGCCCTGATTCCATCCCTCCAAAATTTATTAAAGGGGTATCTCAATCTATATTAAGACCTCTCTTACTTATCTTCAATAAATCTATTTCCTCCGGTATTCTCCCTTCTGCATGGAACAATGCTCATGTTACACCCGTGTACACGTACAAGGGTGCAAGAAGTAACCCATCTAATTATAGACCAATCTCTGTTACTCCTATTTTTAGTAAAATTCTTGAAAAAAATGTTTTTAAATATATGTTTAATTATCTCTCAAGATATAATATTGATTCTAAGAATCAATCAGGGTTTCTACCTAAAGATTCAATTGTCTATAAATTATTAGTTATATATGATGCAATTGTAAAGCACTTGGATAAAGGTAAAGAGGCTAGAATGATATTTTGTGACATCAGCAAAGCTTTCGACAGGGTCTGGCATGATGGTTTAATTTTCAAATTAAAAAATATGGGTTTTGTGGTAATATTTTGAAATGGTTTTCTTCGTATTTAATTGATAGGAGACGGAGTGTGGTCTTTGATGGATTTAAATCTAACTGGAAAACGTTAAAGGCGGGGGTACCACAGGGGTCAGTTTTAGGGCCATTTTTATTTTTACTGTACATAAATGATATCGGAGAAATTTTAATCTCTAATGTCAAGCTTTTCGCTGACGACACATCGTTATATGCATTGATAGAGGGAAACAGACAGGAAGCTGCTGACATACTAAATGAAGACTTACGTAAAATCTCTATCTGGGCTGATAAATGGGGTATCATCTTCAATCCGGATAAAACGGAGGCTCTACTTTTCTCAAGGCGGGTCGACTCTGAGACGTTGCATCCTAATCTATTTTTTAATAATGCAGTTATTAATACTGTAACGTTATTGATCATAAACACCTTGGTCTTATTTTCAATGGCAAAGCCAACTGGTCAACTCATATAAATTATATTTATGAAAAAGCATATAAAAGACTGAATATACTTAGAATGTTAAAATTTAAGATTGATAGAAAATCCCTTGAAACAATATATATATCATATGTTCGTCCAATCCTCGAATATGCTGATATTGTATGGGCTAACTGTTCCCAGAGAGAGTGCAACGTCTTAGAGTCAATCCAACTTGAAGCAGCACGCATTATTTCTGGTTTAAGACGAGGAACGAGCCATAACATTTTATATAGAGAGACTGGCTTTGTTAAACTTAGTAAAAGAAGACATTTACATTAAAATATTGCATTTTTTAAATTCTTTAATAACAATTGTCCATCTCATGTCTCAGACTTGATACTGCCCTTTCTTAATAACTTTGAACATTACAACTTTCGACACAATAGGTTATTTGACATTCCAGTACCAAGAACGCATTTATATAACTCTAGTTATTTTCCAAAACTGATGTCAGAATGGAACAATCCAGCCTGTCTGTTTCCCACTATGACATCTCTTGGAGCTCTGAAAAAGGAATGTTTACGTTCATCCCATATGGATGATGTTCACCCAATATGTAGTAACATTTGTAAATATCACGGTGATAGAAAAATTAACATAACATTATGTCAGTTAAGAAATTCTGCAAGTAATTTAAATTCAGATTTATTTAATGCACATCTAAATGATAGCCCTGCTTGTATATGTGGCTCCCCCTTCGAAGATCGTGATCATTTTTTCCTGCACTGTCCTTTTTATACTAACCAACGACTAATATTACTTAACTCTCTGTCAGCGATGAGTGATGCTATTCCACTCAATACCCAAACTTTTATTTATGGTTTCCAATCACGAGACGTAAATATGAATATAAATATTGTGGAGACGGTTCAGAATTACATTAGAGACACTAGACGTTTTTATTAGATTCTCAAATAACTTTGTAAAATAATCTCTTTTATAACAATTGTGATATTTGAAATATGTATTGTCAAATCAAATTCAAAGTACAAATAATCTCTTATTTTAATACTTAAAGAAACATCTGTAAAAGTAACATTTATATGATATGTATATACTGTTATGTTTTGTAAGGAGAGGGCTTATATAGGCTATGCCTGTTGCCCAATTCCTTTTGTACATAAGATCAGTACAATAAAATATTCTGAAATGAAAAGATATTCATGCTGATATGCCAAATGTTTAGAGTAAGAACAGTATTTTTACTTCTCAACTGATGAAGGCCGGGCCAAAATGCTTATTGTGTAATGGCACATCATTCGGCATATCTTTTATTTTTCACAAATTGACTGACTGTCTCTTTCATCAATACTCAAACTGATAACTCATCACACAATAACATTAAAAAACCCATTACATGAACATTTTAAAAAAATGAATGAGACTTGAGGCTACGTGTTCCTCCTAATCATTAATATTCAAGTGAAACTGGCAATAATTACCGCCACTTTCACATGATCAGAAATCGTTCAATATACGTTCGTAGTGGTTGGGGCGATAACGATTTCTGGGTCTGGATATATACGATGTAGGGCCTTCTCAGGCCTAAACTCATCGAAGGAGAGAGTGTTAGAGGCGCTTAGTCGTGCAGTTGCAGGGCTAACTTTAAACACTTGAGTGACTCTGCACACACAACGCTGTCTGGAAGCTGATTCCAGTCGATGGTCGTTTTGGGAAAGAATGAGTTTTTGTAGACAGGAGTGTTACAGTTTGTAGTTTTAAAGCACCCAGAGTCGTTGGTTTCTTGGTTTTCTATAATATTTTCTTGTGACACAGTCTGTAAAACGTTTGGCTCTAATGTTCCGTTTCCTTCGGAGTGGTGTTAACTAGTCCTGGCAGTGCAAGGCTGGCACAAGCCCCTCGACCACTTTATAATAGAATGCTAGTCGGTTCTGCTTCCTTCTCTCTTGAAGTAAGGACAGGCCCAGGTCCTGGAGCATCTGGATGATACAACCTGATCCCCCGGAGGTGTAATCTCTCGTGATGAATCGGGCTCTGGCGTTGGATGCGCTCTAGCTGGTCGATGTCTTGCCGAGATAGGGGTCCCAGACCACAGAGCTATACTCTACAGTTGATCGAACTAGGGCGAGGAACGCTGTTTGTCGACATGAAGCTGAGCAATGTTTAAGGTTTCGCCGCAGAAACCCTAGAGTGGAGTTAGCCTTCTTTACTATCTTGGTGATTTTATGGACAAAATCTAAGATCTTCTGATAGAATGATTACAAGATATGGGGATTCCTGCACTTGCTGTAGGATGTGGTTGTCAAGCTGGTAGAAGTGCTGTGACTTGCAGTTAATGCTCATGATGTAACACTTCTTGGCATTGATACGCATACCCCATGTTGAGGCGATATAGTTTTAGGGGTGAAACGGTTTTTGGGGTGAAAAGAAATTTTGGGGCGATATGGTTGTCATACTTGGGGCGAAATGAAGTGAAAATTGAGGCTATGTGAAATAAAGTTGGGGCGAAATGGTCTGGGGCGGACCGGTTTTGGGGCGAAACGTCTGTAATTCGTATGATGGACAGATGTACAGACAAATACTTGAAAGATGTATATATTCACAATAAAATTACAGTCACTAAACAGACCTACAGATAGTCACGCAACAGAACTGGAGTAAGACTTTGTTTATTCAGATGTAGTACAGTCACTAACTCTAAAACAACAAAATATGTAAGTGACTGTGTTGTGATCGCAAATTCTAAATTAAGAGAATTGAACCTTACCATAGTCGGAAATTACATTCATGTCTTGTATTCTTAATTTCTTATAATATACAAATACTCTGTCGGCTTATTACAAGTCATGTCAGGCGCGGATCCTGGATTTGTAGAGGGTATGAGGTGGGGAGGGAAGGGAGCCATAATGGAAGGTTGGGGCTGAACTGCAAGAAGTCGACGCATTGTAGTATCTCTGGAGACATTAATAAGGACTTTCCAGAATTGAACGGAAAAAATCATAGCTTGTGCCACATACATAATAAAAATACATAGTCGTGAAATTATACTTTTGTTATAACATGCTATACATTTATATTAACCAATCCTACTGGACCAGGTTTTTGATCTTGAATCACATGGAATAAAACCGGAATACTCGGAGAACCAAAACGTGGCCGGTCAGATGGTCCAATACCTTTTCATGTCCATTCGGGGAATCGAACCCCACTCCATTTTATCAACAGAGGATTTTGATCAATTTTGAATGTACAGTAAGGAGCCCATGAGCGCGCGATGCTATTTAGACCTAACACGAGTACATTAACTTTATCACAATATTTGACAACAAATATAGCAAAGAACAGATAAATGATATGTTAAGAGTTTATAAAACAACAAAAATAATTTAGTATATTGGTAAACCACATAATCATACGATGTGTTCATAATTACTATGGCAGTCGACTATACAAAGTCGGTACAGAAAAATCAAGGACCAAGGAAACACCAAACCCAAAGGGAAGACTTCATACTATCCATTAAGGATGTCCTGAGGCTGTGTGAGGTGTCCACCATTATGGATTAACACCTCTGTATGGCTTGAAGTTTAACTTCTTTGTTTGTTGATCAGCTTGTAGAAAAAAATTATGGTCGAACTCGGCAGCCTCCATAATGTCATCATACAAGTCGCCTCTCATCCCCGTTCTGGCTTGTCGTAGGAGGCTTCTTGGGTTCTATTGGCTGTGACCATGTCTACGGTTGGTAAGTTTCCGAAACCAGGTGAGCCAATTTCTTACTGCTTTTGGTACGTCAATGCTTGGGAATACTATCTTCCATTGCCTGGTGAAGGCCAATTGTTAGACAACTTTTAGTGTGATGTCTATACACGTTGCCTTATACGAGTTCTTGTCTAACAGTTTTTCCATAGTGTTTTTGAATGTGTTGATTCTACACTTCTTCCATTGTGGTGTGGTTAACGTGGAGGTTGCTGATCGATTACTGGCGGCTATATATCCTGTCGGATTTATAGATATGCTTGTTGATACGGGTGTGTGATCCGATGTGTTGGTTGGGTCTATTTCTATGTTCTTTACATTCAGTTGGAAATTACTGCTTTCCAGGTGTAATATGTTGTCCAGCTGTGCGCTGTTTTTTTCCGTCGTGATGGGAAAAAGGTATCGAGGTCGGATAACAGGTTGGTGGAAGGAGGTTGTGCTTTTTTTACAAAAGTTCGAAGGAGTCTGTCATACTCGTTGGCAGGTTCACGGTACAGGGATTCGTTCAGGTCCCCATGAACATAACTCTATGTTTGGCGCTGTATTTGGTAACTAGCTCGTGAATTGTGTCCGCCGTTTCGGCATAGTCCTCCTTGCTAACCTTGCTGTTTCTGCTAGGCAAGTAAACGTTGATTATACAGATGGAGGGGTGTTGGAGTTGAAGTAAGACAGATGACTGCTACTCAACTGTTTCCATCGTCAGGTGTTTATGTATTTGTCCAGCTGTTCATACTGGAACAGCCAGTGCTACTGGATGCATATGATCTGGTGTGCATGCAGCAGGTTTTGATGCAGACGTTGTTGGCTTGTATGTTCTGAACGTTCAGAATGGCAATAATTATGTCCATAGTGTCGGGGCTTGTTGTTGCAGCTCTCTGCGTTGGCTCTTGTGGATTAGAGGGCATCCTGTCAGCATCATTATCCTCAGCATATCTATCTGTGTGTCTTTCCAATGGGTGCTGGTCGAGGCACGGCCGTTTTGTTGAGGTAGTGATTTGGGTTGTTTTACGGTTCCGCCGTCCGATCTACGTAAGATAGTATTCCCAAGCATAGACGTACCAAAAGCAGTAAGAAATTGGCTCACCTGGTTTCGGAAACTTACCAACCGTAGACATTGTCACAGCCAATAGAACCCAAGAAGCCTCCTACGACAAGCCAGAACGGGGATGGGAGGCGACTTGTATGATGACATTATGGAGGCTGCCGAGTTCGACCATATTTTTTTTCTACAAGCTGATCAACAAACAAAGAAGTTTAACTTCAAGCCATACCGAGGTATAAATCCTTAATGGCGGACACCTCACACAGCCTCAGGACATCCTTAATGGATATTACGATGTCTTCCCTTTTGCTTTGATGTTTCCCTGGTCCTTGATGTTTCTGTACCGACTTTGTATAGTCGACTGCCATAGTACTTATGAGGACATTGTTTGATTATGTGATTTACCAATATACTAATTTATTTTTATTGTTTTGTAAACTCTTAACATATCATACAAAATGTTTATCTGTTCTTTGCTATATTTGTTGTCAAATTTGTGGTAAAGTTAATGTACTCGTGTTAGGTCTAAATAGCATCGCGCGCTCATGGGCACCTTACTGTACATTCAAAATTGATCAAAATCATCTTTTGATAAAATGGAGTGGGGTTCGATTCCCCGATTGGACATGAAAAGGTATTGGACCATCTGACCGGTCACGTTTTGGTTCTCAGAGTATTCCGGTTTTATTCCATGTGATTCAATACCACACACCCGGTCCAATAGGATTGATTAATATAAATGTATAGCATGTTATAACAAAAGTATGATTTCACGACTATGTACGAAGTATTTTTATTATGTATGTGGCACCAGCCATGACATTTTTTCGTTGAATTCTGGAAAGTCTTCATTTATGTCTCCAGATATCTAAGATACGATAAACATGATAGATACTACAATCCCGAACATGTTGGGATCCAGGTCATGACCTATATAAGTGTTGTCTTGTGTAGCTTACTTTTGAACGTTATCTAGACTGATTGTCTACGTTGTCGATGCAGTAACTACTATATATAGGTATTGTAGGGAAATATATAGTCTTCATACTTCGAGAACAACACTTGGCATACACTAGCAACATGATGAGGAGCATATTATCACTTATAACTGTGTTGGCACCGTTGATTCAAGGTAAAATGTTATTTTGACATTCTTTATACATATGTTGATGTGTCACGTAGTTTATATATATATTTTTGTTTAATACTTGTAACGGTTCTGATATAGGTTCGTTTTTGTATCGTTTAGGATGTATGCTCATTGCTTACGTTAAATACTTACGTTCATGAATTACATTTACGATACATATGTATCATTAGTACTTATGTTCACTTATCACATTTATTTCATGTGTTTATTGATCACATTTCTTTTATATATACAAGCACAGTTTCAATAGATAAGCACAAAGTATGAAATCAAAGTCGAAAAAAAACGAGAAATGAATTGAGGAGTCAACAAAGCAAAAATAAAAATATCCTGGACCACTACAAAATGTTTGAGGTGAAACCTTACCCCGTGTTCTTGAAACCATTTTTACGCTCAACAGTTCTGTAAGCGCTGATACATAACTGTTCTAACTCATAGGAAATCATGCAGCATAGTCAACATGTATAGCCAAATGACAAAATGTCCGTTTATTGATTTATCACTGACCCAAGATAATTGGCCTAGTCGAGCATGATTACAGACCCTGCTCTCATTCCCTGGGGTAGAGGTTGATGATGCCCATGTTGCATTCGTGTGCTTACATACTTTTTTCTCTCTCGGTTTTTCCTTTTTTTCTGAATTTATCAGGACCAACCAGACGTTACTGTATTTCATTAATTCGTGATTTACTTATTATATTTTTTAGCATGCCCCCCAGGATGGAAAGAAAATGGAGAACACTGTTACTTCTTCAGTTTAGAAACAGGGACGTGGGCGTACGCCGGTGTGAGTGAATTGTTTGTTCATTTTGTTCAGTTTTTGTACATCGTCGTTGGAGGACGTTGCCTGTTAATTAATTGTGTATTATTCCCTTTTCCTCAGTATTTGGACAGGGTCATGGGCTGACGCTTTTGTGAGAACACTGTATCATTACTTTGTAGAGAATTTCAAGTTTCCGTTCAATTCAGGATGAATAATTAAAAGGCAAATCTTTTAATCAGACACCATTGCAGGAAAAGTTAACAGACTTTGACATACACATTTTTCTGACAAGTGAATCTTCGAATTTAAAGAAATACATGTTTTATCATACCCACTCTATGTGGGATTGGTATAAGAGTTATCACCCTTGGGCTAATATTCTTAGTAGAAATTACCTACCCTTCCTACCCTACTTTTTGTGCCTACCCTTAACCCTTTTTGGCAGTTTTCAAGGATGCACTGGTAAACTCCATATTACTCTTTATAAGCCTTAACAAAATACATGTTTATTGAAATATAATGAAAAATACAATTTGTTACCCACCAACTGATTATTTTTCACACATGATACAGGAAACAAACATGTTTATTTGTTTGGCCTAAACTATTCCTCAATAACACAATATAAGCACAAATTTCATGGGCTGATCCTTAAAATTACAATTCGTAAGTTGATAATCACAATAGAACTCTTTTGGCTTGGAGTATTTTAAGTCAACTTAAAAAAAAGCATATACCTTTAAGCTAGAGTCTCCAGAAATAATATTTTGTCGACATTTTTCTCGAATGAATTCGTGCAAATTTATCGCTTAGTATCTTATCCTTGTTGGTAATCCATAGAATACGGAGTAAGGAAACATTTTCAATAATTAGTATTTTATCCTGGTTAGTAATCAATATAAACACGGAGTAAGGAAACATATTCAATAATTAGTATTTTATCCTGGTTGGTAATCAATATAAACACGGAGTAAGGAAACATATTAGATAATTAGTATCTTATCCTGGTTGGCAATCAATATAATCACGGAATAAAGAAACATATTTAATAATTAGTATTTTACTTTGGTTGGAAATCAATATAAACACGGAGTGAGGAAAAATATTCAATAATTAGTATTTTATCCTGGTTGGTAATCAATATGAACACGGAGTAAGGAAACATATTTTATAATAAGTACCTAATCCTGGTTGGCAATCAATATAAAAACGGAGTAAGGAAACACATTTAATAGTTAGTATCTTACCCTGGTTGGTAATCAATAGAAACACTGAGTAAGGAAACATATTTAATAATTAATATCTTACCTTGGTTGGTAATCAATATAAACACGGAGTAAGGAAACACATTTAATAATTTATATCTTACCTTGGTTGGTAATCAATATAAACACGGAGTAAGGAAACATATTTGATAATTAGTATCCTACCTTGGTTGGTAATCAACAGAAACACGGAGTAAGGAAACATATTTAATAATAAGTATCTTATCCTGGTTGGTAATCAATCTAAACCTGGATTAAGGAAACATATTCGATTATTAGTATCTTACCCTGGTTGGTAATCAATAGAAACACTGAGTAGGAAACATATTTAATAGTAAGTATCTTACCCTGGTTGGTAATCAATAGAAACACTGAGTAGGAAACATATTTAATAGTTAGTATCTTACCCTGGTTGGCAATCAACAGAAACACGGAGTAAGGAAACATATCTTATAATAAGTAAACCGATGCCGAAAGGCAAACAAAGTAAACCCTTTTTTTCTGCACTACATGTTCTCACCGTTTCGCCCATCTTTGTACAGGAACCTCATTTTATGTTCGACACATATTTTTTATCGTATCTGATACCAGTGCCATTGTATTAAAGTTGATAATTCCTCATTTAAGTTAAATATTTATTTGTTTTCAATTTTGTAGAGTTATTGCCGGAATTTCAACGCAAAACTTGCAGAACCTATGGAAGCCGCTGACGTTGTTTTCATTGACACAGCGGTAAAAAGCACACATCGTAAGTTGATATGTCAATATAAACTATTTTTCAATTAACTCATTAATCAAAATTGAAATTTGATCTCCGATATGAGATAAATTTGCCATTATGTTCTCATTCTATTTCCTTGTGTGCCTTGTTATTCCGTTGTCACTGCCCAATCTCCCTCTTTGAGAGCGTGACATTACTATATAGGTCGCTTTTCTCCCGGCTTTAAATATTCTAATTTTTTACTCCAACACGAAAATTTAATTCACACGCTTTCAAATTTAGTGATTTGCAGATATGGAGTGTTTTAGTATAAATATTGTCCCGATGTCAACTTTTTAACATATATTCCGGTACACTTCTGAAATTCTCTTGGTTTTATTTTTAAACAAATATCAATGTATCATCTGTACATAAACATAAACTTATCCAAATGTTTACTATACTGTTTTAAATAATAACGCTTAGCGAATGATATTCCTGGATCGCTTGAGAACTTACATACATGCTTGATAAGGACGATCCTGATCCAGTTGCAATACTAGACTGCATTGTATTTTATAACGTGGATTATAATTACTCGTGCCATATTATTACAAGAATTCTGTTTTCGCGAATAAATGTATTCACAGCGAAATAAAAAAAATATACAAATCCAGCAAAAAACCCGGCTAAATGGTATTATATTTTGACCTACTTCATCAAAGGACGCTTACCCTTTAGGAACATGTGGTCTTATTGGTGTTATTTATTATCTCTGTGTAAGTATTCATGTACTCTTAATTAACTCTAGTTTCGTCGATTTTGATTTTGAATTAAGGTGTTGTATACATTGTGGTATATTTTTCTTCTTGTGTTGCCAAACCAGCAAGGATTGGTGAATACTATTTAGGAGGAGGTGACTTCTTCATTGAAGGAGAATGGATTTGGGCTAGCACTTTGTCGCCAATCACTAATGCCAACTGGTCACCAGGGGAACCAAATGACTTAGCCGGGAGAGAGGATTGTTTGGGTGTGGTATTAAGTGGTTTATGGAATGACGTTCCCTGTAATATATCACTTCCGTTTGTGTGCGAACTTGAGTAAGTACTTACGGTGCTCAGTCGAACTGTCATTTGTAGTATAATAAGATCACACTTGATTTATATTTGCTGTTTAAATGAGTCATGAGTCACATGGATACAACACTTATTTTGCCTTGAAAATATTATTCAATGTCACACCTGAAGATATGGTATTATGCAAAAAGCCGAAATAGTTTTCATTACTGTAATTTTATTATTATCATTGCATTAACATGATTCCTAAACGAAATGCTCCAAACAATTTTGTGTAAATTCCCTTCTTTCACCACCAAATTGGTTGACCTTCGTTATAAATGTTCAAAATAACAATTGAAACTTATTGTCGCTCGGAAATTGAAGCAAAATATTTCAACCGTTATTAGATTACATTAAATGAATCTGCCTCGATTTTATTCAAATACGATTTTCCCCAATGTTCATGAAGACTGAGTCAGTTTTGACAAAGTATGCAAGTGTCCCGTTACCAATTGAGCGAGTTTTGCCAGATTGACCATTGACCATTTCCTTTTATGTAGAAACGTTCTAGTACACGTATCTTGCTAGACAGCCATTAATGATGTACTAACACGTTCTTGTATATAATAGAGCACTGATTGCAAGTCTGTGTTTATTTCAGAAATGACTTCGGCCAGGAAACAATCGGATAGACCATACCAAAGTAACATAGATGCATTTTTTTTTGTATATTCAAAGTATGAAATAAACCCGCTTTAAAGAAATCAATTGTTTTATGTTTGTAATTCTCTTCACTGAAATATATTGATTGATGATAATGCCACTTTTATTACAAAATGAAGCGTCATTTATGTAAACCACACGTAGTCTTTTCTAACGAGTTAAAGACATTTCCAATACAATATTTCGTTTTACGCCACGACACCCTTAGAATAACGGCCAAGTTTTTCGTTTAAAACAGTCATGTAGTAATTTCATTCGTTTTAATGCCTACTAAATTCCTGTTATTTTCCTTCGTGTATATTTCACATTTTCAACTTCGCCTTGGTTCACTTTTGTTTTATTTAATCATGCTTCCAAAGCAACCTCCAATTAATTACTACACAATATAAACATGGAGATCTGAGCGACTACCACAACTGAAGACTTGATTCCTGTGGGTAAGATCGTTGAACGGTCACCAAGCTCTGAAATAAAAATAAAGAAAATATAGCAGTAAAATATAAGTGTCAACACACGGGTACAGAAACTGAACTCAAAGTCAAAACGATAGAAACGGAGAAGTCATTAAAGCAACAGGAAGGACTTCAAAGATCCTAAATAAAAAAAAGCGGATGTTCCGGAAGTGTGAGTATATATTGCACCACACGTGTGTCCCGTCAGAGTGTCTTCTTTCTAATTCAAGATTTATATTCTTGTTGGTTATTTATTATTTCATAATTAATAGCCTTGTTACTGAGTTAGTACTGGCACAGTTTACGTGAAATACTAGTTTAAGTGTACATTGTCTGTTTACAGCATGAAGTTGTACATTTTTACCGTCATAAAGGGTTATATTGACACTTTTCCTATTTAGCAGTATTTTTTGGAATACTTTAAGCGAATAAATGTCCATGTATTTTATACCATACTATTAATTCAAAAAACATATTTGTGCCTTTTTTTCATAAAAAGATACCGTTCACTTTTCATTTCTAATACAATTTGGTATTTCTGGCACGTTGTTCTATAAAAAGAACGCGCAAATACTTTCGGGGTCATGTACGCCGTTAAACAGGTGTAACTGTACCCTGAAAGAGACACTGGTATTTTGGCTAATCAATATCAGAAGAAAATTATACATAGTTCAAATATTTTAGAGTCAAAGGGAGGAGTTCTGATAAAATTTCTTCACGAAACTAGCGTTACTTTTGAAAATGATATCCATATAAAAATCACGAAAGTTGTGTTTTGGTAATTATTCTTACCTCTAATTGTCCATTTAACAATATTCAGCCCCCAAAACAGCTTATATACAGTTAATTTGTCATAAAAGCATCATCAAGTGAAAACTGCACACATAAAAGTACTTCTTTGCACTTCACGACAGTTTCTTGGGCCGTTTGACCACAAGTGTCCCGTTTTGGGTAGTGATTCTTCTGACCTTAAGTCCAACTGACCAGTCCTAAATGGATGAAATGACCATGCTTTGCCGTTAATAGGTTACTTTATTTGGCTTTCCGATTCTGAAAACATCTTTATAACAATTCTCAATTAGGTGCTCTCTGCATTTTTAGTGATTTTTTTTTACCCCGTACATGAAAATAAATTGAGTAGCTTTATTTTTTGCATCAATCTTTGGGTTTTACCCATAACAAAACAACGAAAAATGGCATAACTGGTAGCAATACATAATTGAGAATTGTGGTACAGGGAATCACTTTGCTACCCTCATGTATACTACGTACTTTCGTAAATATTGAGCACAGTTGCGATGGATGCAAATGTGAGATTTGCGATTGGTTTCTGCAGTCGATGCCGGGGCATAGCTAGTTTTTCTCCAAGAGAAATTTTAAACAGATTTTATGGCGGTATGACCCACATAATTATGTATCTAAGATAAAACGATGTTCCACAAAAAATGGATAGTCATATTTTTTAAATGTTTCCCAGTCGACTGTTATATATAATTACTGATAATAAAAATGTAATGTCGTAGGGTATTTCTAAAGGAAGAACAGGACTTTCACTGGACATCCAGGAAAGTTAAACTGCAGGAGGTATACCTTCATTAGAAAGGGGCATAGGAGACACATACATTTAATGCACAAGGAAAACATTAATTAGTAGGTATATGATTTTTGATGTTTGTAACAAAATATTTGAACCTTTCTATTTTTACCTAAGTTTTCATACGAACATCAATTACAATGAACTGTGGGTAAAACAACTGGTAACAATTTATCGTCTGTGGTCTTGACCGTAGGTGTGATCTCGGAAATTCACAGCACAGCTAGACTGACGACAACCAATGGTCTACGCGTTATGTGATAAGAAAACAAACCTTTTACACATCAAGGACAATCGGACAGGCGACTAAACAGCCAGCATGATAGGGAACATACTGCTCCTTTTAAATATAGTAGGGGCGCTGATCCAAGGTAATTTTAATCGGATATCTGCTGTCTTGTAAACTGGTATTGAAATATTGTTTTAGCTAAAATATAATCCAATATTGACACACATTTGGTTTAGAAAAAATCATTCACTGTCACAGCTAGTATAATGTAACAACGTTGAGTCTAAAGCTAAAACAGTGACGTCGCAAGAGTTGTAATTGAATAGTCTCTATCTTGACCAATTTCTATTTGTGGAATTCCAGTACATTGCATTACATCAATAATAATTTAGATGTTTCAAGATTTGATAACGCTACATCTGAACGGGTGCCACAGTGGTGCAGGAGTGTTAATGAGCGTTCACTGTGTTCTTCCTTAATAATCAGTTCCTGTTCTTGTGATTCAGTTTTTGTCCTTCGTTAATGCCATAATTAATTAATATGTTTGTTGATACTAATTACGTTTTTTTGAGTTTGCTCATTAACACGCCTTATTGTTTCTCTGTCACGTTTCCAGGACTCGCTCTCAGGACGTGCCATGGCTACGATAAGACCTAGATTTACATACCAGATGTCGTTGATATAGCAGAAGAAACTTAACCTTTCGGAACATTTGATCCTATTCTCTTTTATTCTCTCTTGTTTTAGGTTCCCATACAGAAGTTGTATAGATGTACAGATCCTTTCCCTATTTGCTATGAGCTTATCGATTTTGAGCTTGTTTAGGGTTGTTTACACATCTGTACTTGTTGTTGTTTTTCTTTTTTTTCTCTCATGTTCAAACTGAATGTTTCCACTAGTTCATTTGCCGAATAATATGGTTATGTATGTTGTAGCGTGTCCGTCAGGTTGGACTGCACACGGAGAACGTTGCTACTTCTTCAGCGTGGTGGTAGGATCTTGGGCCGACGCTGGTGTGAGTTAACTCTTTATATCATTTCATTACAATGACCGACAGCGACCGGACAGGAAGATACTATTTTATATCCTGGTGTGCCTTGGTACAAAGTGATGGAAATTTTGATCATTTTGCACCATATGAAAATATACCATGATATACAAGGATTTAGTTTTCTCCACATCTTTACATATAAAATTTTGAGACGTGATCCATGAATATATGTAAATATATGTTTGCGTCCTTCTCTTGTTGGCCATTGCATTCCATTTTCACGAATGTTTGTCTAAAACAGTACTTTGCTATGCAGGGAGTAATACTGATGTTAACAAGAATCTTGCAAGAATCGTGCGCTTGGAGGATTTTTCTATATAATAATGAGAACTGAATATCTTAAGAGTCCAGATATCGTAGCGAAATAATTTTCCAGCAGGCCCTGCCTCAATGATTTTGTGTGAAACATTCATTTGTATTCTTTAAACCATTTAAACTATGTCCACTGAGCAAAAAGCAACAAACTGGTAATAAAACACATGGCTTACTGTATTGCTTTTCGAACATGGCTATCTGGATTATAGGAACCCTCAAGCTAAATAAGCCAAGACAAATGTGCCCTTTATTAAAGTTTCATCATAAATTTGTCCTTTAAGTATCTGTATGATTTAAAGGATATACGTTATTCATGTATAAGTAATATTTAATAAGGTAAGATATTTCTGAAAACTATTGCAACTTAAAAAATCAGCATAATTCGATAGAAATATTGATAGACACGTGCACGTTTTGTTTCTCCAAATTCATATGCTTTAATTTATCATTTTTACAGAGTTACTGTCGAAATTTCCGCGGAAAACTTGCAGAACCGAGAGATTCAATAGATGTAGTTTTCCTAGACGGAGAGGTTAGAGATAAACATGGTAAGTAAACAAGTGTCAGAAAAAGGCCTGATTTTCCAAAATTTCTTATTAGCAAACCATAATTATAATAACAAAATTTAAATTTTAACAAACATATTCCATGCTTGTGGCTTGAATTTATTCTGACACAGCCCAGCTAACATGAAATGTTAGTCTGAGAATATATTATCTCTAGTCGCAAAATGTTGTAAACTTGTAATGCCGTAAAGTGTTTATAAGGCATTTTTCCGTATTTCAACAATTGTATTTTCGAAATTATTTAGACATCGCTTCTGGCAAACACATTTTTATTGTTATGTGTTCATCAATTGTCTATTGGAACATTTAGCTGAAAGCACAACAGGTCACAACAGATCACAAAACACGTCACGTGCTTTCACTCGTAAAGACACAAATATGGTTTTGCTATCTTTCCACATTTCTGTCATAGCTTTGTTCCTGTCATTTCAGTAACCCAAGGTGAATACTATTTAGGAGGGGCCGACTTCTTTGTTGAAGGAGAATGGGAGTGGGCCAGTTCATTTGATTCAATCACCAACTCGCACTGGGGTCCCGGGGAACCAAACGACCATTACGGGAGGGAGGATTGCTTGGCCTTAACACTGTCAGGTTTTTGGAACGATGTTCCATGCAATACGTCACTTCCGTTTGTCTGTGAAATTGAGTAAGACTTTTTACAGTTTCATATAAACTTGACATATACTTGTAACAGATTATCTACACATTTAGCAATTTATCAAGCATCGTTAGATATATTGCATACAGTTTCTTTTAGCACAACCAATGAAGCGTTTCGAGGACTAGTTCGATATGCACTGTCACCTTCATCTAAAAATAACTTTGTGATGAAAGTGACAGGGTACATTCTGTTCTAGACATAGAAATGTTAAGAACGTTTAGAGCCATCGTTAGATGATTTGTGAATGATCTACTGCTACTCCTGAATTTGTAGGTGAACTATTAATATTGATGAAATATGTAGGTGGTCAATTGATATTTGTTAAATGTTTAGGTGATCTACTAATATCTGTGAAAATGTAGGTGGACAATTGATATTTGTTAAATGTGTAAGTGATCTACTAATATTCATGAAAATGTAGGTGGTCAATTGATATTTGTTAAATGTGTAGGTGATCTACAAATATTCGTGAAAATGTGTAGGTGATCTACTAATATTCGTGAAAATGAAGGTGGTTAATTGACATTGGTGAACTGTGTAGACGATCTGTTGATATTTATTGAATATCTTTACCACATTGTCTCTGTTTGTACACCTACCGTGGACTTGCTGCCATGCGGCTTCGTACGATGGTATGGTGTTCACAGACTGTTTATTACTTTAACGCAAAACTAAAAGTATTTCAGAATTATGTTTGTGATTGCTTCCATACAATTTGGTAATTGATACAGTATGCCAAAATGAAGTACGGGGCTCCATGCATCTGTGTCTTCTTTCTATGAATCATCGGTGGCGGCAGGGCCAACAGAGTGGAAATCCAAATTGGTCTTAACTACTGTTGAACCAGAGAGGGGAGATACACAATCCTCTTAATCATATAAGTTTCAAAAATAAGAGGAGAAAGTTCAGTGTCATATTGATAATGAGAAAAGTGTTATATTATGAAGCGTGACACTACTCAAAAGAGATAATGGTGTCCATCAAGGTTACGGCAAACTTCGGGGACTAACAAATTCACCAGCCGAATTTAGCACCTTGTATATGGAAAGAAGAAAGACACACGCACAAGTGACTTCACCTTTAAAATTTAGTAATATAAACACTGTTTTATCCTTCTAGAGTAACATTAATATCTTTATGTTTCAGAAACGACTACAGCCAGGGGACCATTGGGTAAATCAAAGGAGATAAATATTTGTGAGCATTTGATTCAGAAAATAAAGCAAACAAAAGGGAAAGTGATTGTTGTTTTTACTCCTCCGAAATGCACTATTTTATTCACATTTGAAATAAACACCAGCCTGCTAAAGTAGCGTTAGAAAATAAAACGATTTTATGCGAAAACGATTTTTCCGTTGGTTAGAGTTTTATTTTATACGCTTAAATTTCAGATGAAATGGTACAAAGTTTGATTTTATTTTCATCACGTGCTTTGAATTCTTTTTAAAATGGTATTTAAAGATCGAAATGTCTTTTACAAACATAGATAATGGTATGCAACACAGTTGAATTCAAAGACATTCCATTATGCGTGTATATATCGGATCAAACTGGCTACCAGCATCTAAACTTTTGTAAAGAATTGTCAGTTGCATTCCTCCACTAGTTTAGTTACCCCTTATTTAAAACTAAGAATCAGGCATCAAAGCTGTAAAAGTCTATATCTTGATGAATGAAATTTTCTACGAGTATAATATAAGATGTAGCATCGGGTGACCAGCTTCTGGGTCATAGAGACAAAATCGGCGAATTAACTAATTAGAACAAACTTAACAACAACGTACTTCACGTTGTATATCGACAATGTTTAGTCTACAATATTACCTAGGCAGTCAGTTTGCAATCACTTCCGTTACTGTACAATGATAAATGATCTCTTCCGTCGTTATCATTGAACGACGTCATTACGCGCCTAGTTTCTGTGCGAATCTTTTTTTATAGCACATGCTACATAGATATATTTACAATTTTATACCGTTACGCTTCGAAATTTTGGAATGTTTATAAAACAAATGTTTTGATTTTGTATCTGCTATATCAAATGAAAAAAACCCCGCAGAATATGCTTACATTAGCAGGAACAAAAAAGAAAATTCAAAGTAAAAAAAGGGACATCCATTTTTTTCGCGTTTGCTATGGAGAAGCCCGAAGAACCTGCCACATGCCGTTCCTACAAATTATTATGCAGGAAATGATGGGGTTTTGAACATATACATTATATATATATATCAATATCTTTTTCGTGTATTCTAATTAATAAAAAGATAAAAACTTGTGCCATGTCCAATGTGAAATATACACTTAGGTATTACATTCTGTATATGCAAGACATATCATAATTAAGGTTCAAGATTTCTACAGTGAAAACTTACAAGTGAGACAGAATCTAAACCCTTAGAGATAGGAAGGAGTAGAAACAAAAATCACGCCAAAATAAAAAGAAACACAACATGGGTTTCGCACGTAAACGGGAGGCGAAACCAGCACTGCTGAATATGTTTCTTACACTTCATGCTAAATATCCCTTCGTGTCTCCTGTTGAATCCGTAACCGCATTTTGATCATCAACACTATACGGATTCATTTAACACTGTCAAAAAGTGTAGTTATGCATTGTATTTTTCCGGGAATGACTACAGCTTCGATAAGTCATTTTGGAAAAGGAAACCATACCTTGCAGAGTTAAAACAAACGAAAATATAATGAAGATGGCAGAAAACTAGAACAAAACATTAACAACAGCGGTCTGAGGGTAAGAATACAACAGGGGTCAGACCAGGATTCGAACTCGTGACCTCCGATCATTGACCAACCAAACATCCTGGTCCATGATATTATTCTTGCCTAGTCGTGCAAGAATTATGACTGTAGTCATATTCGAAACGAGGTTAAGGGGAGGTTACTGACTTTACCCAAAACTACAATTGAATATCTAGCGTTTTCCCTGCAGTGGGACATATATCCTTAAGATAAATGTGTATGTTTTGGGTCATGATATCGGTAAGTTTGTGAGGGCGTACATATCAACTCCCCATTGTGGATGTCTCTGGCATAGACAACTGTCAATCCAATGTCTTGGTCAACAAAACGCACGACTACATTTTTGTTCACGACTATTATATACTGAAAGGATAAAGCAACGCATGGTAACACAATTTTAATTGCTTGGCCTTAAATTATGAAAACCAGTCAGACGAGTTTCTTGGTCACTGTGCACTCAAACCGTTGTCTAAAGTTACTCAATTGTGTGTGCCAAATAGTGAAAATGGTAAAATGCAAAAAAAAAAAAAAAAACACGTGCAGAATAGTGATGACAAATTCGTCAACACATCCTGTCTTACCACTTGATACTATTGATGTATATACACCGCTTTCCGCTATTTAAAGTCAATTTGAATCTCTTGCAATCGTGGTACGGCTGACGTAAGTTCAGAGGGGCCAGGCTATTGCACTGCTAATGCAAGGTCAAATGCAACAACATGTTGCTATGCAGTTCGGTGTGAATGTTTCCATAGAACGTCTTGACCGTCGTCCGAGAGATACCGGAAGGGTTGCCGACCGACCGCGATCGGGACGTCCGCGCGTAACGACGCGACGTCAGGACAGGGCTATTCGTCTTGCCCATCTGCGTAATCGCCACGTTGATGTCATTGAAACCGCTATTAATACGGTATGCAATCTGCAAGGAACCGATTGCGCGAGGTTGGTCTGCACACTCGTCGTCCGTTAGTTGGTCTACCTCTCACTCGATTTCACTTGGCGATCTTGGGGGTACTGTCAAATGTGCTTCAATAACTCATGAATTATCGGTCAAAATTTAATGATATTTTGGTAATTTGTTCATTACAGTTGTTTTTATTATACTTATATAAATGTATTGTATATAACATTCAAATACTTCACATTAAATCACCTCGAATGTTTACCATACGTTTCTTTATCCTTCCGGTATACATATCAAATACTAACGGATTGAGGAAACAGGATATGTCAATTGTGTAAAACGGAAACCCAGTGTTTCACTGGAGAGTCCGTCCACTATTTGCTAAGTGCCAAACTGCGTCATACATATATGCATACTTAATTTCAGCTGAATCAGACACTAGTATCATTACGGGATACTCTAGGTTTCTTGATAAATTATTTTTATATTTCACGAGTGGCAAACATATTTTGATAAATTTATATAAAAAATATACATATATATATATTCAACCCATGAGACAAGACAAGGTATTATACCCCACGCAGCGAAGTTATACTGGAATCAGGTCGTCTGTCTGTCTGTCCATAAACACAATCTTGTCTGGACAACTCTTTCTACGGTATTTTTGCCGAAATCCAAAAATACACAAAGCACTGTTTTTTTTCAGCAAATATAACACGTTTTATCTCCTAGGGGTGAGATTTGTAAATATATATTAGATATAAAAAGGACTGGAAATGATCACAAAGGCTAACATAAAATTCAACTGCTTTAATTAACAGACAACGTAAATCATAACAGTTTCAGACATATGAGTCATTGGATACATTAGTACACATTGGCACTTTATCAAAACACATTGATATGCAGTCATTAAATATCATGCAGAAATAATTTAACGTAACGCTTTTTGATGAATTATCGGCCTCCTTCCACCGTACAAGTTGATCTTTCAGCTTTACACATAATCTTGCTCCTATTGTAACGGTACCTAGTTTGATCGAATCATTCATTAATTTGATAATACATTTACGCACGAGAATATATTGAATTCTATTATCTCCAACGTATTTTGTATATGTATGTACTGTTAACCTTACCAATTCATGATTAATCTTAATACTTCAACTGTGCGTTTGCATTTCTCCCTTACATAAGCATTACTAATAGGATTTCATGAATACAGACATTACTGTAACAAAGGTACCAGCAGTAACGTGTAACACAATCCCTCACAAACCATTGTTTTATCGGGGTTCATGACGTCTTCCTCTGTATTTTGGTGGCCTCGACCTGTTCCAAGGTTGATTTATCTCTCAATCTTTAGAATGACACCGTTATTGCACCCTACCCACAAACATCCCTTCCGGTCAATAGTTATGCATCTTGGTCCTGTCTGTCGGCTACTCTCGTCCAGCAACACGGCTGCTGTATTTCCGTTCTTTGGTAACACGTAAATCCTATTATTTTTTTCATCTGTAATATAACACGCCGTTTTGTCATTGGTTATCCCCAACGGTTCCACTGTACCGACTCCTTCACCTCGCCAAGACCACGAAAACAAACGTTCCCCTTGCTTAGCTAAACACGTTACACGGTGGTCGTCTTTTGCTGTGTCAACTACAAACATCTCACCGGTATCAAAACTGGTAATTCTATATGGTCGAGTAAGTGTTTCAATGTCGTTCCGGTCGATTGGTATTTCTAAGAGAATTTGACCCCTCCCTGTCATTTTCACAATTTTGCTACATGTCGTAGTTACAGCACAGACTAAAAGTCTGTTTTCATTGTTTACGCTTATGCCCTTTGTGTAGTAAGGATCGAGATCAGCAATAGTTACCATTTTGTCGCCATGGCAACCGATTCGCTGCACGCTAGTGTCCATGAATCGCGTGAACACTAAGTCTGTGTTTTTATAAAGAGCCATACTGACCACTCCTTTCTCTGTGTCACAGGATTTCTTTATCGCATTCAAGTATCCGTCTATTAACATTAAAAACCGATTCCCGTCAAATGAAACCCAGATGTTACCATTGTCTAGAACACAGAGGGCCAGGATCTTCCTTATTGTTTTTGTTTTTAAGTATTTTGTTTTCACCTCGTATTTCACTCTCTCTTCTAGTTTTTGGGAGGATGGATATTCCAGCTGACCAAACAGTGACACCAACTTTGATTGGTCAACATATTCTGGTTTACTTAAAGTTGGCGGTTGGCGTCGAACGCTTTCAGGACTTTGGAAACACCCAGAAGTATCTTCAATAGTTTTCAATAAAACAGACAGAGACGACGAAGATTCACAACCTTTTAGGGATTGTTCTGTGTTTGTGATTAATTCATTTAAAGCTGCCATATCTTCAGTCATCTTGAGCTTACTTTGATTTTGTTGTATCTTTGCTTTATTCTCGAAAATGGTGACTTCGTTCAAAACTTCGTCTCTCTTTTTGTTTACCTCTAGACATAAGGTGCTTGCTTGGTTGTTCACATCTTCCTTGAGATGATCTATACAACAGTTCATGTATTCTGAGAATTTTGAATCATCGTTCATCACACCTCTGTATTTCAGCAATGTTTCTCTGAACTCGTCTATTTTACTATGGATATTTACCTGGACACGGCACCTGAAATCGTCCACAGTGCACCAGCTATGCTTCTTGTGTCGATCAGGTATACATTTCACACAAATTGTAACATCACAGTCCTCACACCAGTAGTCAAGGGATTCACCCGGATGCACGCCACACAAGGCCTTGTTAATGTATACCGGTCTGTATTTGGCTTCTCGAAACGGAACAATTGAATGCGTTCTCGATTTCTTTCTTCTTAAATGATGATCTTTACACTTATCACAAAAGTTGTGTTGACATTCCTGACAGAACCAGTTAACATGTTCCTCAGTTTCACAGTCGCTGCACAACAGCAGAGACAAAGTAGTGTCCCCATCACACACGTCCTCGGACGCCATTTATATATATATATATANGGAATCCCTTTAGGAATCACACAACTCAATCAGCCAACCAGCAAGTGTTTCATACGATTGTATTCCCTACCTAAAATTTGTTCCGGTCAAATACAGTGCCTCTGAAAACTAAAATGGGTATTTGTTGTCATATTTTACATTGAATGAAATCTACAGATATTGAACTTAAGAAAATGTATAGTTTTAGCAGATTTTAATATGTGAAGGCGGATCGATATGGGGTCAAATGTCAGGGGGCGCTCCCGTTCAACTTCACTGGTTTGGCTTTTAAATTTCTGGTTTTCAAAGCAGACGCCTGTAGCGCACTTATGTGCCATTAAACCCGCCAACAATGTCTTTTGAAGCCTTTGTCAGGTATGTAATGAATCAAGACAGTTGTCACTAGCGTTGAACCTCAAATATAAACGTTATTAGCTCAAAAGCTGAGTCCTTTCCAGTAAAGAAAGTATCCAGTTAAAATAACGTATTACCAATAAGGCTATATGAAATGGTTAAAGAAATTATTTTCTACAGATATGTTAAAAATAAAAATTACATGATTGCATTTGTTTAAAATAAATATATGATTAAAAGATTTTTTTATAAATATATAATGCAGAGGTTGAATTCATGACCTGAAAAGGTCAGTCATATACCTTATGAATGTTGGTAACTAGAAATCATAGCTGTCCTTGACAAGAAAAAAGACTTTGAGCCAAAAGAAAATACCCTTTTTGATGCTTTATCTTCTTTATATATTCCATAACGATATAATAATATTCATAAGTACATAATTCATTGACGTTGAAGCAAGAGGCAAACACTAACTTATTACAAAAATGTGGTCCGAACTAGATTTGATATATATAGGCAAATACAAAACCTTTTATATTATTCGTTCAACCTCCGGATTTTATTTTAGATTTGTGTTTCCTTTCCTTTTGTTTTGGTGTCTCTTCTATTCACACATGTTGTCATTTATAATAATTCAATCTTGCTTGTACCAAGCATTTTCATTGGCTTAAAAATTTATCAGCCCATAACGTAAAAAAAATGATGTCGCCGTTTGTAACGACGCTTTTGATTGGCTGATACAGCAGCGCAATAATTTCTAAGAGAAAAGAGTACATCAATAAAAGTGTATTTCCACAGGGATTGTGTATAGTAGAATAAATTATAAGGATTAACTTGAATATATTTTTCATGTTATGGAGATATAACACAAAAAACCGGAGTGTACTCTCATCATAAACTGCTTCGCGGTTTATTTAGAGTACACTCCGTGAATAAGTATCATCATTGATGTCCGAGTTCGTGATTGTGCATGAATGCTATATATTTTATTTCGATACTTTTACACACTTAGAAACTAAAGCAGGGACAGACAACGTATACATTTGTATAGGTATTAAGATAATAACACCAACAGAATATTTATTTGTTGCAAACCACTTAAGAAAACAGAGTTCCTTTCATTTGTACTCAAATCATCCTGGTAAGACAGAATTTGATATATGATGCAGTATAAATGTTAACTTTGTTTGTTTCAAACTAAGCACACGTTTAAACACAAAGGTTACAGAAATAGGCACAAATTCAAATATTAAGTTTACACAACTAAGCACATTTTAAAACACCAAGGTTACACAACTAAGCACATATTAAAATAATAAGGTAACAAAAGTTAGCACTAATATAAACTCAAGGTTACACAACCCAGCACAAATACCAACTCAAGGTAACATAACTTAGCACAAATATGAACATCTAGGGTTCACAACATAGTACAAAAACAAACGTCTAGATTACATTCGGTGTTAAGTACAAATACAAATCTAGGGTAAAAAACAATCTACAAATACAAACATTTAGGGTTTACAACACACTTCTGCCATTTCGTTTTCTTGAGTTTCAGTACATGTATCAGCAATGTGTATTGACGCCGTATGATATAACTGTCATATTTCCCCTGCGATGCCGCTAGGCTTCCATACAAGTGAGAATCCTTAGGACAACCACCACTTCAAAATATGTCACGCACCGATGCAGTGTGATCCGACCTCAAATGTCAGTGTACACACTATAAACTTCCGGGTGTTGTATTTCATCAGATTGCTGACTTGTGTTCAACTGAAATGTTACAACACATCAAGCATGAACATTTTCAATGTTATATGACACACCTCCTGTCTTGGTTTATGTGTTCAGGGGGGCATTTAGAATAGCTAATGAAGTTACATTTTTTTAGTATTGTAATAAATCCAAAAGGCGTTTACATAATATCAAGCTAACAATGCAGACCAACAAAACCACACGTACTCTGTTTACAAAGCTTAGCTCTAAACAGGATGGCAAATAGCTGAAATGAACAGCTTTCTAAATGGATTTAAAAACACGCAGTTAAATATCGTTAAAAATGGTCCAGATATTTAAGTTTCTGTGATAAAAAGCAAAGCTAATGGCGTATTAATTACATACAGACTCGTCGAACAGACAACGATAAACTGAAATTTCTGGCTTCTATTGCTCATGCATATATTGACGATAGTATCATCCGTACACACATTGAATTTGTATGTAAATATAAAAAAAAAAAACAGATGTCTTCAAACGCTTTAGTACGGGAGGTATACAAACATGTTTCAGCCTTTGGAGGTTATAAATATCAATACATCTTCATTACTTAGGAGATTATAATCATAAAAACATCTTTATTATTTGGAGGTAATAATTATATAATTATATAATTAAGCAGTAGAGTACGGGAGGTAAAAATACATATTCTTGCTTTTGGAGGTTATAATTACGAAAGAATGTTGAACAAGAGGTATAAATACAAATTTATATATATTTGTATAAATACACATTCGTTCGTTTGGAGATTATAATTACTAAACAATGTAGAACAGGAGGTATAAATACATATTTATTCGTTTGGGGATTATAATTACGAAACAATGTAGAACAGGAGGTATAAATACAAATTTATTATTTTGGAGATTATAATTACGAAACAATGTAGAACAGGAGGTAAAAATACATATTTATTCGTTTGGAGATTATAATTACGAAACAATGTAGAACAGGAGGTAAAAATACATATTTATTCGTTTGGAGATTATAATTACGAAACAATGTACAAATGTAAAACAGGAGGTAAAATACATATTTATTCATTTATAGATTATAATTACGAAAAAATGTAGAACAGGAGGTAAAATACATATGTATTCATTTGTAGATTATAATTACGAAACAATGTACAAATGTAAAACAGGAGGTAAAAATACATATTTATTCGTTTGGAGATTATAATTACGAAACAATGTAGAACAGGAGGTAAAAATACATATTTATTCGTTTGGAGATTATAATTACGAAACAATGTAGAACAGGAGGTAAAAATACATATTTATTCGTTTGGAGATTATAATTACGAAACAATGTACAAATGTAAAACAGGAGGTAAAATACATATTTATTCATTTATAGATTATAATTACGAAAAAATGTAGAACAGGAGGTAAAATACATATGTATTCATTTGTAGATTATAATTACGAAACAATGTACAAATGTAAAACAGGAGGTAAAAATACATGTTTACTCGTTTGGAGATTATAATTACGAAACAATGTAGAACAGGAGGTAAAAATACATATTTATTCGTTTGGAGATTATAATTACGAAACAATGTACAAATGTAAAACAGGAGGTAAAATACATATTTATTCATTTATAGATTATAATTACGAAAAAATGTAGAACAGGAGGTAAAATACATATGTATTCATTTGTAGATTATAATTACGAAACAATGTACAAATGTAAAACAGGAGGTAAAAATACATATTTATTCGTTTGGAGATTATAATTACGAAACAATGTAGAACAGGAGGTAAAAATACATATTTATTCGTTTGGAGATTATAATTACGAAACAATGTACAAATGTAAAACAGGAGGTAAAATACATATTTATTCATTTATAGATTATAATTACGAAAAAATGTAGAACAGGAGGTAAAATACATATGTATTCATTTGTAGATTATAATTACGAAACAATGTACAAATGTAAAACAGGAGGTAAAAATACATGTTTACTCGTTTGGAGATTATAATTACGAAACAATGTAGAACAGGAGGTAAAAATACATATTTATTCGTTTGGAGATTATAATTACGAAACAATGTACAAATGTAAAACAGGAGGTAAAATACATATTTATTCATTTATAGATTATAATTACGAAAAAATGTAGAACAGGAGGTAAAATACATATGTATTCATTTGTAGATTATAATTACGAAACAATGTACAAATGTAAAACAGGAGGTAAAAATACATATTTATTCGTTTGGAGATTATAATTACGAAACAATGTAGAACAGGAGGTAAAAATACGTATTTATACGTTTGGAGATTATAATTACGAAACAATGTAGAACAGGAGGTAAAAATACAAATTTATTCTTTTGGAGATTATAATTACGAAACAATGTAGAACAGGAGGTAAAAATACATATTTATTCGTTTGGAGATTATAATTACGAAACAATGTAGAACAGGAGGTAAAAATACGTATTTATACGTTTGGAGATTATAATTACGAAACAATGTAGAACAGGAGGTAAAAATACAAATTTATTCTTTTGGAGATTATAATTACGAAACAATGTAGAACAGGAGGTAAAAATACAAATTTATTCTTTTGGAGATTATAATTACGAAACAATGTAGAACAGGAGGTAAAAATACAAATTTATTCTTTTGGAGATTATAATTACGAAACAATGTAGAACAGGAGGTAAAAATACAAATTTATTCTTTTGGAGATTATAATTACGAAACAATGTAGAACAGGAGGTAAAAATACAAATTTATTCTTTTGGAGATTATAATTACGAAACAATGTAGAACAGGAGGTAAAAATACAAATTTATTCTTTTGGAGATTATAATTACGAAACAATGTAGAACAGGAGGTAAAAATACAAATTTATTTCTTTGGAGGTTATTAAGTTGATAATTATAGAGTACGGGAGATATAAATACATATTCATTTCTTTTAAGCTTATAATGATATCAATTATACAGTACGGGAGATATAAATACATATTCATTCCTTTACAGGTTATAGTGTTATAAATTGTATAGTACTGGTGATGTAAATACATATGTATTACTTTGGAGCTTATAATGATATAAATTATAGAGTACGGGACATATAAACACATATTTATTACTTTGGAGGTTATAGTTATAAAAATGATATAGTACTAGAGGTGTATATTCATTTTAACCATTGCAGAGTATGATAAATGTTAACTGTTTTGCTCTATAAGTGCAAGATATTTCTATGGTATAATTAATGCTAAAATACAGTCTCATGCAAATCTATCTTTGTTTTTATTGGTAGGGATAATTTATATAAGCTGTACATATAATGTAAATCTATATCATTCCATTGTTCACGTAAGGTTTTTTTCTTGTTTCTTCAGTTTCCGTAAATTCTCTCCCGTCTCAATCCGGGCCATCATAACATGATAAATAACATAGGAAACTCGTACATTGATATCGTTTTCAAATAAATAAAGTTTATGTTGCATCTATGTGTATATATAGATACAGAGTACCATTTTGCATACTTTTACATTCGAATACAGGCTGCTTCCCCTGGCAAAAAGTGCATATTTTCCCAAAATTTGGAAAATTTAGGAATATCTTCCCAATTGCTGTTAGATTATGCTATATTTTCCTAATTCATGCATATTCGTTTGGTTTGGTTTGCTTGTGTTTTACGCCCTATTAACAGCTAGGGTCAATTAAGGACATGCCAGGTTTTATTTGTGAAGGAAAGCTGGAGTTCCCGCAGAAAAACCACCGACCTACGGCGAGTACCTGGTGACTGCTCCACGTAGGCCTCGAACCCGCGACCCAGTGGTGGAGGGCTAGTGGTAGCAGAACGTCAGACGTCTTAATTAAACCACTTGGCCACCGCGGGCCCCTGGATGAATATTATGTATATAAACTGTATAATACTGCCTAAATACTTATATATATTTTGTATATAAATCTGTATTAATATTGGTGTAGATTGTATAAATCATCGTCTGGATCGACTTATCTGGTGGTGTCAAGAGTAGTGGAAGGATATTACTACATGTGTTAAAGGTGTCTCGGAAATTAACTTGTGCAAGTCTCAAGCTAAATTGACGGTGGATGACCGAATTTTAAATATCTATTTTTAGCCGTGTGGAAATTACATTCACTGCTAAGTATACAGTACTTGTATTTCGTAGTGCGAATAGTGTAACAAATGGAATATATATCTAACGTCTTAAAAAATGTACACAAAAACGTATGATATACCTTATTGAAAAAAGCTAATGTTATATACACAATATGGAAGAGATTTATCTGAGATGGACACAGTTTAAAAAGACATATAAATATTCATCTTTCAATGATGTATAGCCAGCCTGATTAAAAGGCAAATTTATATATGGTCTCTTATATGTATATTTATTTTCACATTTATGTACAAATGATGTTACATATAGCATTACTCCAGTCATATATATGTACAGTGTTGTTATGTATACTATGTTTCGGTGTTATTGTTAGCTACTTTTACAGAGCACCGGCTCCCTAGTGTGAACTACTGTTTGGGAGTGACAGTAAAAGCACGCCTGTAAACTAAAATGGCGGACAAGAACACTGTTGACGAAAATGATATGTTAAGTGGAAATTGTGAAATGTGTGAATCGGAAGAGGAGGTCAAATGGTACTGTATCGATTGTCAGGAACGCCTTTGTGAAAAGTGTAGAGCACACCATCTTAAAAACAAGAAGTTACAGAATGACAACATCGTATCTATCAGAGACGCCAGGGAAAACGTCGAGGTCATAAACCAGAACGACCACAACACATGTGTCAGACATGGGGATAAACAGCTCGACTTTTTTTGTGAGACATGTGATGATACTATATGTCAAGACTGCTTATCTGAAAACCATCGATCTCATGAGTGGAACACCAAAGAACGAAGCATTAAATCGTTAAAAACTGCCTTGAGTGATACGATACAGAATTTCAATGAAAAACTAGCAAAATATCGCGATGTGGAAGAAAAGGACAGAACAATGCATGAATTCATCATCAAAAGGCTTGCCGACTGTAAGCAAAGTATTAATGACGTGGCAACCATGATTTGCGAGGAAACTATGAGTCTCAGGAATGATTATCTTCATGAAATCAATTCAATAGAATCGAAGGAGAAATCACGTTATGAATCCAAACACAAAAAATACTCCTCTGAAACTCAGGAACTTAAAACATCGATTGATGACATAGAAAAAGAAATAAGATTAAACAATATTTTCCATCTTCACGTTCTTTCGAAGGAAATGAAAACAAAATCTTCGGATTTCCAAACACCAGAAGAATACAGAGTTTTACCTCCTTCATTTGAAAAGGCATCATTTCAGAAACAAAAATTAGTTGCCATGTTTGGAATGTTGAAAACACCAGAAGATATAAATGCGTTTAACGATTTGTCGTTGAACCTCAAGGTGACACACCTTCAGACTAATGTACGAAAGAAGATCATTGCTCTGTGCCCCCTTGACGACGGGTCGGCATGGCTTTCCTATAGCAGCAATGGCGACGACGCCGAAGGGACCAGACATGAAAACAAGGGGAGACAACTTGTTCTCATAGACAAAAGCCTGCACGAAAAAGCCAGATCATGTCAAATTGATCGGGAAGTTGTCAACATGGCTTTGTTTAAATCAAAGGAAATCCTAATCACCTGTTTCATGGATACTTGCATCCGAAAGCTTTCATGTAATGGTAAGAAGTTGACAAATTTTGCAGACTTGTCCCCAAATTATGCTAGAAGTGTATGTGTACAGGAGGGGGGAGCAGAGGTAATCGTGTGTGGAAATGCTCCTTATTCTTCTGGATTGGTGGAAAAGAGTAAGAACGTAGTTTTGAGACTATCTGCAGCTGGGAGTATACTACAGGAGATAAGATTGGATAGCCATGACCCGGAAGTGTTCCAGCTCCCATACAGGGTTACTGCCTTCTCAACTGGTGAGATTCTAGTCGTTGATAGAGCTCCGGATGACCATCGCGTTGTTTGTGTGGATAAAAGGGGCAGATATATGTACACGTGGAGAGGAGAAGGGGTGGGTGATACAGATCCGTTGGATATCACAGCTATTGGAAACAAGAAGGTTTGCCTTATAGTTGATGAATCGTACAACAAAATATATGCCCTATCAAAAGATGGCTGCAGGGCGAAGGTGTTATTGGACAAGAAGAGGCGTGCAATGGGGCCGCGTTGCATTGCAACTGACAGTCAGGAAAGAGTGTGGGTTGGGTGTGACAATGGTCTTATTGTTCTAGGAGAGATATATTTGCCATATAGTTCATCTGATACTGCTGTAATGTTAAAAATATATAATCATTTAATCTTATGGAGTTAACTTTTATGTACACAAGTTGTGAGTGTTTTTAGAAGTTGTGAAAATATACAATGGTTGAGATTTAACCAGCACTAAATAAGGTTGTGTATCAAAGTATTAAATCTGTGATCAACATTAAAAGACGAGGGATCTCACTAAGCTTGCACAAATTCTCCGAGAGGGTCGAGGAATAGAATGGAACTTGCTTCCATATAATATTGTTTTTCCGTCCTGATGGACTTTTGAGACAATATTGTACAACTAATTAAGGTTGAAGAATAGTATTTAAAGCAGTATCAAAATTGAAAGTTAATTTCGATGAATATTTTCACAGTAAAAATGTATTGATATAAAGATTTATGTCGAAACGTTAGTTGATCAACCTACTCATACGATAATGTTTTAATTCATCGTGTTACATAGTAAAATCTCATCAGCAGAGGAAATGTACATATTCTTTTTAAACATTTATTTCAGAAATACTACAATATTTTAGACCTTTCATGCTCACTAATCCATTAGTCGAATCTGTCACCTGAATCACAAACTTTAATATATCTGAATTCAAAATGACCCAACGATCACATAATATGGTACTTTTGTACGATTACATTAAAAAAAAAAAATATTATACAATTATAACATGATACTTTTTATACACTGATTATATCATGGTATAATAATATAGCGAATATATATTATTTTGTTACATAATTATATAACAAATTATACATTTATTGTTTTGATACATTTTATGAACAATGTATTTTTATAGAGTTGTGAATGCCTGATTTGATATTTTAACACAACAAAAAACTTTTTATACGCAGTTTTTTTTTTTTTTTTTTTTTTTTTTTTTTTTATCAAAACCGTATATATATACAAATTTATTTAAGGATTAACTGGAATATATTTTTCATGTTATGGAGATATAACACAAAAAAGCGGAGTGTACTCTAAATAAACCGCGAAGCGGTTTATGATGAGAGTACACTCCGGTTTTTTGTGTTATAGCTCCATAACATGAAAAATATATTCAAGTTAATCCTTATAGTTTAATCTACTATACACAATCCTTGTGGAAATCCACTTTTATTGATGGACTCTTTTCTCTTAGAAATTATTGCGCTTTCAATCAATCAAAAGCGACGTTACAAATGGCGACGTCATTTTTTTTACGTTATGGAATGATAACATAAAATTTTAAGCCAATGGAAATGCTTGTTACAAGGAAGATTAAATTATATATAAATATAATGTTTACAAATAATTAAGTAAATTACTGTATGTAATGCATTATAAAATTATAACGTGACTGGAACCAAAGAAAATATTTTACAAAAACGTGTATAATAATGTGAAAAATGTGTTGTGAAATATTATAATGGTATATTGTATATTGCAATAACGCTTTTTAAAGTATTATTGTCTGAATGTATGGAGAGAAAAGTTGTATAAAAAATTAATTTTATTACAAACACTTTAAAGAAATCAAGATAGACAAACTGTACAATCTGAACACAATTAGACATGATTTTCTCATACTTTATAAATATTTTTACGATTTCAATCTTCGTACAATTTGAATTGTGAGATCAAAATACGGATTTAGGCAATTAGGTTTATTAATGGGGGTTATCATATATAAATGGACATTGGTACTGCTTTGTAAAAAAGTGTGTATACCTGAAATATGAGGCATTATATTAGCGTAATTTGAAGTGGTGAAAATTCAGCTTAAATGATGTGAATATGATCAGATACCCAATTCTCTCACGATTGGTTGATGAAATGTTGGACACAGTCAAACATTATCTTATCTCATTATATTTAACTAGCATATCAGAATGTCCATACAGTAGAAGGTAGAAGGCATTCGAAAGCTTTTTAAGATTAGTCAGCAACGGGTTAGGCTTTATATAATTGAGAAGTGTATTCCATAGGTCAATAGAGGAAGGTAAGAAAGAATCCTTGTGAAGCTTGGTTCTACAGTTGTTTTGACAGTAATTATTTGCGTTTCTAGTTTTGTGAGGGTGTCATAATGACGAGCAGGAAGTATGTTAGCTGGTAATTTTGACATATTTACAGTTTTAATCGTGTCGTTAAGGAATACTACAAAACATATTTTCAATAGAAAGAAAACACTATCTATATAACATTATCCTAATTTCATTGTCATCAATATACACCTTGGTGCTAGCCTAAACTATTTGACTTCGATAATATAACGTGTTAAATATTATGATAAGATTTAGAAAGTTATTTTTATTGATTGTTACAAAGTATAATATTCACTGTTATTTGTGAAATAAAATTTTGTGATACACTTTGTTTTTTTTGGGTTGTCTCTCTTTATGCCGTTAATATTGTATTTACATGACAGTATGTGGAAATACTATCAATATAATTATATAAACAATTCTTAAACGAGTAGTGTGGTAAGACTTAGCGTTACATTATATTTCTGTATAAATAATATCAAAATAATTATATAAATAATTCTTAAACGAGTACGGAGGTAAGACTTAATGCTACATTATATTTTCTGTAGAAATAATATCAATATAATTATATAAATAATTCTTAAACGAGTACGGAGGTAAGACTTAATGCTACATTATATTTTCTGTAGAAATAATATCAATATAATTATATAAATAATTCTTAAACGAGTACGGAGGTAAGACTTAATGCTACATTATATTTTCTGTAGAAATAATATCAATATAATTATATAAATAATTCTTAAACGAGTAGTGTGGTAAGACTTAACGCTACATTATATTTTCTGTAGAAATAATATCAAAATAATTATATAAATAATTCTTAAACGAGTAGTGTGGTAAGACTTAACGCTACATTATATTTTCTGTAGAAATAATATCAAAATAATTATATAAATAATTCTTAAACGAGTAGTGTGGTAAGACTTAACGCTACATTATATTTCTGTAGAAATACTATCAATATAATTATATACTAGCGGAAAAGAGAAACTATGCATACGAAAAATTGTTATAGAACATGTATTACCAACTGTATATACATGAAAATTCACACACATGACCGAATATGACACATACACACTATCCGTGTGACATTGACCGTTTTTCCTGTGCAGCTTGCTCTCTATAGGCGTTGACCAGTTTGCACGTTTTTCTCGTCCAGCCATCCAATTCGACAAGAAAAGTTTATTTGTCAACTGTTGAGTCACTCTGTTGAGACCAGTGAACAGTAAAAACAGCCTTATAACGTTTTAATTTTTGATTAATGCTATGCCGAGGCTCAATGAAAATGACCGCCTCCGGATTATTGGTATGCTTCAAGCTGGTATGGGCCAAGCCGTTGTCTCCACACGTTTTCATGTCCATCGAAACACAATCCGGGATTTGTGGAGACGACATCAACAGTTTGGCCACGTTGGCGATCGACCTCGTGCGGGACGTCCACGTGTGACGTCACGTCAGCAGGACAACCATATTCGGCTTGTCCATTTGAGAAATCGCTTCCAAACGGCAAGTTTGACTGCACGGACAATCCATGGGTTGCTACCAATAAGCCCGAGAACTGTACGGAACCGATTGCGTGAACGAGCTATCCGTCCGCGACGTCCTGCAATCCGCCAAGTTCTTCTGCCACGTCATCGTGTAGCACGTCTGGACTGGTGCATAAGGCATCTGCGATTTACTCGACGGGATTGGGCCGGCATTTTGTTTACGGACGAGTCGCGAGTCCACCTGGATAGTAGTGACGGCCGTTCCAGAGTGTATCGTCGCGTTGGAGAACGTTTCCGTGACGCGTGTGTGGTACAACGATGTTCTTTCGGCGGAGGCAGCGTTATGATTTGGGGCGGCATCACAGCCAACGAGAGAACGCCTCTGATGGTTGTTAACGGAAATTTGAATTCAGGTAAATGGTGGACATACGAGATATTAACTTTGTGAACTCAGTATTGACTCCTGCTGTGTTTACGTCACTCCTGAGGAGAACTTATTGATTCCATAACGTGTAAAATGGAATGCAACTGTTAATAAATAACAAATAAATTGTCCCTGAAAACCTTGCTGTTCTACGTCATACAAATTTATTTTTATAACACATTTTAGGCATGCACAATTTCTTTTTTCCGCTAGTATATAAATGATTCGTAAGCGAGTAGTGTGGTATGAATAACGCTACATTGTATTTCTGTAGAAATAATATCAAAATAATTATATAAAGGGTTCTTAAACGAGTAGCGTTGTAAGACTTAACGCTACATTATATTTCTGTAGAAATAATATCAATATAATTCTATTCATGATTCTTCAATTAATAAAATGGTAAGAGTAACGCCACAGTGTGTTTCTGAAGAAATAATATCAAACAATCATTATGAATAATATGGTTATAATAACTCTCTATTGTATTTCTGGTAAAATATTTTCAATATTTATTTTGATTCTAAAACGACTTATATGTTAACACCATCCTAGTGTTTTTTGCCATAATTCCACAAGCATTTTTCTAAACGATATATATTTTATTTCTTTTGTTAAACAAGAGGCAGGGTCTTTAAAATGTATCGAAATGACACACTGTTCTGTTGCTAAATGTATCAAAAAGTAAACTATAAAATATGACAAATACGACAAAATCAAGCCGGATATTCGATGTGAAAATCCAAGAACAGAACACTGAGGAGTCAAAAAAACCCAGAATAATGACATTATGAAAGGATACAAAAAAACCTGGAGTTAAACCATATATTTCAGAGTTGTGAACGCTTCAATTCCTACACCACAGGTGGCGCTCTTTATAATGTCCCCCCAATCGGCAACCGTCGGCACTTTCCGTCTCGTTTACGGAAATTAAAGTACCGACGGTTCCCAGTTCCCGTTGAATGTCTCCCGTCTAAGGGTCTAAGGATTTGTCCATATAACTTATATATAATCTATTGTAGAATGATTGACCCTACAATGCTTATTTTCAATATTGTACCATTCAGAATTACACATATGCATAATCTATCTATATATATATATATATATATCAATTGTTACATCATCAATCACATAATCAAAGAATCATCAGTACAAACGTAACGGTCCAAATTATATTCGTTGGAAAAGAAGTCACTCACTGAGAGACCTTAGTTGTTACCTTGTTAATCCTATATAGGTTCATTATTTTCTCGTAAATGAGAAAGTAACATTTACCGTATGAATGTGCTAGGAAAACCACTGTATGGTCTAACGTGAGTGATAACGATAGGAATCTTTAAATATTTCCTATAGCAATCCCCAGAAACTATAACGGGAAGTCTGATGGGGATGACTACACAAACCCAGATATACACTCACTGCCAGACACACGTATGTATAAACATACGTACACAGGCTTTCAGCGCTAAATCTATGTTTATAAACATTATCAGTATTCTTTGGTCGACCGCTCCATTCATAAATTTGGCTTTGTGCAGATAAGTTGTTTCTGAGCTACTAGAACTTCACTGCGTACTGAACTGAAGTCAGAAATGGTGTGGTTCTTCAATAACAAAATAAATCACATGTCTAAGAATAGGGTTTCTCATCAGCACACGAGTTTGTGATACATGTATAATTAGTAAGTGTGTTGTTCTACATTAAAATGAAGATTTTTGAATAAAATGAAAAAAAAACCATGACAAATCATAATTACATCCAGAAACAATCCGATATATAAGTCGATAATAATGTACCACATCATCAATACACAAAGACACTGTACAAATAAAAAGATATTCTAAACAAAAATTCAGGAGACAACAAAACAAAACGGTAAACGCTATACACTAGGAAACAAAGTACATGTAATCTGAAATGTAGGGTTTCCTGTATCATAGGCGAGATTCGTCGTAATGTCTCCGTTAAAAAGGGTTAATATAGCCCTCTGCGCGCGTTGTAACATAGGACGCTACAAATTGGTTGAATACACAATAGGTATACAATAGTAACAAAATGGTTTTCCATGTTTAATTGTATTGTTGATGAAATAATTTATTCTTGCTTATAACACGCATTTTCATTGGCTTAAAAAGATATGTTATCAGCCCATAACGTAAAAAAAGTGACGTCGCCGTTTGTAGCGTCGTTTTTGATTGGCTGATACATCGGCGTAATAATTTCCAAGAGAAAAGAGTCCATCAATAAAATTGGGTTTCCACAGGGATTGTGTATAGTAGCTTAAATTATAAGGATTGACTTGAATATATTTTTTATGTTATGGAGCTATAACACACAAAAAAACGGAGTGTACTCTCATCTTAAACCTAGAGTACGCTCGGTTTTTTTGTGTGTTATATCTCCATAACATAATATATTCAAGTTAATCTTTAAATAAACCTATTATTACATTCTGTTGAAAACATTCTTGTATTAATTGCTATTTTGCATCTTATGCTACTGGCTCGAACAACATAGTTCCCTTAAAAACATTACGATACATTATTTATCTCCACAGAAGGCAAAATAGATAAGGATATACAAAATTATAGTAACGACTTCAAATTTTTCGAGTTTTGTAAAAACGAAACAAGACATTATATCCCAGTAGGATTATGATATATTCGTATTATATCTAAGGCAAATAAATCGAGGCGGTTCAGCACATCAGATAGACACAATGTCGCCATGTGTAAATGTGTACAGATGAAAGATATATGTTGATATACATTTATCTCTGGGTTCATATGAAGTATTGGTGTTTTAACTCGTCAAAAAGTGTAACTAACTCTGCCTTAACGTTCTGTGTGCTTACTGCTGTAGCATCACTAGGAGGCCCCCAAAGGGGTATATGTAGGAACTTTTTGAAGAAGTGCTTTGACGTCAGAGGAAGCGCCCGTCCGTTTTAGCCTACCGATATACTGACGTCTACAACACTGATGAAACAAGAACAAACAGCTCAATATATCACTTAAGTTGTAACCATACGTTCAGAACTATACTGTATGACTGCCTAAATAAACTATTGTTTTACTCAAATATCTAAATTCAAATATACGTTATACACCTATATTTCAGAATAGATTTCAGTGTGAGTGATTTCCATTTTTTATAAATAATGCCTGTCAACTGCTGAAATTTAGCCTTTTGTTGTATCTCGTATTTTATAACAGTAGAAAACCGTGAATCTCTTCACATCTTTTAAGATCACGAAAGAGAAATTCTTGATATCAGTCTCAAAAGTAACAGAAATACATCATTTCATTTAAATTAAGCAGATTCACATTATAAGAGAAAATAGAAAACTGAAGATTTGAAAAACATCACGTATATATGATATGCGATTGTAGTTATATGAATGAAATGCTTTGCAGCTGGCGAGGAAAATTTGGATAACGACTGTTAAAAAATGGATTCTCCCGCAGGGAGCCTCTCTGTGATTAAGTTTACATTTGAAGTTTTGGTGTGTAACAGAGGTCAGTGAGAAGAAGGAGAACCAGGAGTACAGGTGTGTACGGTATAACGTAAGAAAATCATCACCGCCAGCAAATGCATCATCTGTAGGAAAGTAGAAGAGACTGGATTTCATCCCGAAATAGTTCATTTCAATTGGATTTCAACTTGAATGCACCCGTAATTCACCTGAAAACTCGTACCCAGGTAAGTTTTTTGTTTATGCATACCTACTTAGAAAGTGTAAGAAGTTACTATATGTCCTTGTCACCTTTGAAAATATGTGAAACATAATTATGCTTATGTTTTGAAGTTTAATATCTATCTTGAACAATTTTATTAGTGAAGGTGATAAGACTTGACAAACATGCATCGAATGTACGCGTACTGACAGGGAAGATTTTTCTATCTATTGGGCAATGAAAACGGTTAATATTTGAGGAGAGACATATCTTCGACAGGAAACATCGTCACTTTTGCCACATGTGGTGTTGGAAACTCGCTTCCTACCATAGTACATCGCTTACACACTTTTATTATTACAGGAGTTCGTTATATCTTTCCTATTGTCTTGGTGTTTTTTCAATATTTGTGGTTTACTTTTTATCTGGACTCTATGTGAATAGAAGGCAATTTGAGTATGACTTACAATGTAGATAAAATATTGGTGAAATTTTCAGAGCTTTATTTTCATTTTTCTTGACTATATCAATACTGCAAGGAGAAATAACACCAATTTAACACTATTCTTCTTAATAAAGGGAGAGGGAATTATATATACATAGATATATTTCACCTGTGCACTTTCCCTGAATGTTTTTTCCAGATCACCGTTCTTAGAAAACAATCTTGAGGCATATTAACCGATATCTAAGGAGGTGTGTACACCTCACAGATTGATAATTTAGACTTGGTTCCCGTGTTATTCATGTCACTTTTAGCGTTAGCCTCGTTATCGAGTTGTCGTTTCAAAAGCTTCTTTTTTTGTTATCATGAATACTATGGTACTCACATAACTGTTTTACCCGATGCTAATCAAGTCTATGGTCATATATGAATTGTTATAGAACACTGTATTTGTTTGGATTAAGAAATCACAGATTTGTTAAAAAAATGTTTTATTTATAGTAAAAGTGGTCATTCAAAATGGCCGTGCCTGTGACGAAAGTATCTCCTATATTACAAGTCCGAAATAAAGTTTAAAAAAAACTTACATTTTGTATCAATTTAATAACTGTATACTGGGAAACAGTGGCTGCAGATTAATTTTCGCCCGTTTCGCCCTCAATAATTAGAACCATTTTCCACGAGGGCGAATACTAGTATACAGCTTACAATACATACAGATCAGCAGTATTTCTGATATCAATTCTAATGTGAAGGACGGAATGACAGGTGAAGGACGAAAGTTTCACTGCGCAAATTGTATTTTATTCATCGCAAATAAAATCTGGCCCTACTGCCAAATCGGCGACAAACAATGAATAATGGCAGAAACCAAAATGGCGACGTCACTGTCTGTGACGTAGCAAAATGGAAATATTGTATGTTGGGCCGAAATTAGTAATTTAATGAGCATTTATATATCACTGAAACTGTGATGGACTGTTTTGTGTTAAAATGTTTATCCCATATTCGAGAAAGGGGATTAATTTAATAAATAACCAACATGTGGGCGTGCATTATGGTGGAATATATAACGAAGATCGGAAAATGTGGGTAAGGTAAATTAACGGTGGCCGCTGCGGCCTGAGTTCATCCATTTTCCCAAATTTTTCTAATTTCGAATTACATATTCTATCATAATATACAAACATGTGTTGATTATATCTATTCTACCACATAGAAAATGTAATAGTACCTGTAAGACAACGTGACCTAGATCATCCAATTATATTATACATAATGCATATATCATTTTCCAATATTACATGTCTATTAACCAGTAAAAGTATCGTCACATCGCCGATGTGTGAGAATGATTGTGAACTAACTTCAATTGGAGAAAGTATGACAATACACTGTCACTCAGATTGGTCAATTAACTTCAGTTGGAGAAACTGTGACAACAAACCGTCACTTATAGGTACCTATATATTACAAATATCTTCATTCAGTGTTTGAACCCTTCTCTTACGAGTACGATCGATGATAGCCAGTCAAATGTAGCTAACGACTTAATAAGATAATACAGATCAATTAGCGTCCTCGACGTGTTTATTGCGCATTGTACGTATAAATGAGTATTATTACGATCGTGGCAGCAACGTCGCTGGTGATGACGTTTAAGATAAGTTTTTGGCAGGCAGAGTCGATTTTAGGCACGAAAAACGCCCACCATCTGAATACATTTATTTCTATCCGAATTAATATTTTAGAAAGAAGCGGTCTTTATGTAAGATAAATCCTCCTCTGCGAATAGCATGTACGACAGACGAGAAACGCTTAAACAAATACCTTCTGAACAGTGATAAGATATGGAGGGGCATCACCTCCAAGTACATATCATCACACTCCAATACAATTATTATCTGCAATAAACATGCAAGGGATATTCCGGACCGTCAGACCCTTTTATCCTGTTTTAGCACACCCCACGAAGTTCTTAATATAGAAACAAGCCTATCCCTTTGATATCACTTATAATTGACAATCATGCTGCACATCATAATGAGATGGTGTATTTGGCAGTGCAGACAGAATAGTTATTGTTTTCTAAAATTAATCGGTTTAACCAGTAAAAAGATTTGGAATTCTATAGAAATAAGTTTTTATGGCAACTTGAAAAATCTAGCAACAGAAAAATGGTTTAATTTGATATATATCACTTAGATATATGATGAATACATCATTTTAGAATATTTTTCTTAAGGATTGCCGTACCACTACCAGACACTATGCATTCGGAACTTATTTTTTTCCGGTATGGCTATAGATTTTGTAATCTTTCTGAAAGAAACCCATCCTTTTGGAACTTTTATAAACAATAATAAAGTTGGAATAAACAAACGAAATAATCACCAGTAGTGTTTTTTTGTGTGAAATAATTAGCGTGGCAAGACCAAGATTCGAACCCAGGAGCTCAAATGTTTTATACTGTCGCTCTAACAGACTGAGATAACTGTTCAACGAAAGTGTCAGGACCGACCGAGCTTCAGTTATGTCCAAAACGAAATTAAGGGGAGGCTACTGTATATACGAAACAAACACCCCAGTACAATGGGACACATCGTCGGATACCCACGGTTGATTTCGCTTCGGTATGAGTAAGTACCGAAGCGAAATCAACCGTGGGTATCCGACGGTGAATGGGACAGGGATCCTTTAAACTTTCAGTAGGCAAGAACTACGCATGATCACATTCACATAGGGATTGAGTGGATTTTATTCATGTACATTTCGGCAATATATTATTAATATAATTACAAAGGTTGACAAGTGACAGGTTCTTGACAACTGTATGTGGCAGCCATCTTGAAATTATCTTCACTTTTGGCACAAGTCTGTACATGTATATCCTGTTGAGCGCGTAAGCGCCCCTCAGAAGATATGAAGATCAGCTACTGCTATTCATTCTCGCAATGTACATGAAAAAACCCATTCAATTCATATATTTACGTTACGGTGAACTACAATAAAAAAGTTGCAACACTTTTTGTGAATTTATTATTTTTGCTAATAGTATCGGAGAGAAAACCATAAAAAGGAACAGCCAGGACTCCAGCCTACACACAAACTTCAAATGTTCAACTTCCGCCGATCAGCTGATTTTGTTGAAACGAATATATATATATCTATGATCTAGTAATAACCAACACTTGATATTCCTTTCATTTTTGAAAGTTGATTTTATTTGATGTTTTTAGGTGTTTTTTGGGGGATTTTTTTTTATTAAACACCTCATATTATATATTTTAAAAAGTTTATGTCCGCACTATTTCAAATCATCGGTCACCATAGTAACCATCCAGGACACCCGTCGGCAGTAGGCATCAGGGGCGTTTCTAGGATATTTGAAAGAGGGGTCGTAGAATGAAATTTTTGGACCTTTTGGACCTTTTTTTTTGCTAAAAAACATAAAATAATTGTGAAATGCACTAATGTAACGGTTCCTGACTTTGAGCATATATATTTTATAGTTAAAGTGTCAGGGTGTTTACGTGTTTAATTAATGAATATAATAAATTGCCATATTCAATACAATATTAGCAGATAACGATAGTTTTTTTGTACGCCCATTACGCCCTCACCTGGACCCGCCCCTTGGCATTGAGCTTATTTGAAGAAAAATGTACAGCCATCGAATACGATGTTTGCCAAAAAAAACTGCAGATGTAGATGATAATAAATTGATTGATGAAGTACCCGGTGACATTACAAACTTCTCTGGGTTTAATGTGCAAGTTGATGTCACGGGGATTACCCAGGCGGACGTTTGGGTGTTAGAAAGTTCTTGACCACGAGGAACCGATTGCGAGTTGGAAGTCGATATTAAATATGACAATGTTATACATTTCAAACCAAAAAAAAAAAAAAAAAAAAAAAAAAAAAAAAAAAAAAAANACCATTTATGATTTTTTTAATGTTTAGTATCATTTATCGCAACTACGGTATCTCGGAGAAGGGGAGGTAACTCTTCTCGGAAACGGTGCTATGCGTCGTAGTAATATAATTTGTCATTGTGTGTGAAATCAGCTGACCGGTTGCACGAGAATCGTTGTATTCATGGTCTAATGGCGGTTGTTTTCAGTTGGTAGATTCATGTACAGAACAAACATCAAGAATGTAAATATATGACGTTGACAATACTTGTAGGCGCCCACGTGCACGCTGCTCATTCAAAACAGCATTCGTGAAACTCTTCACCTTTTGGCGTTCATGCGTGTTTCTGTTCTATGTCCAATTCACTTGGAATACGTGTTTTGGCACACTTCGTAAATTAACGTTTTAATGGTCAGTATACCTTCTCTAAACACGCGTGCTGGTTTGTATCACTGCACCGTTGATCGCTAGATGCCAAGATAGTTCCAAAATGGCTTTTGTGGCGTCATTCCAGAATTTTCTGAAATTTCAGAAAAAATATCGAGATGTTCTCTCATAAACGAAATTTAGGGTATCATGATTACGTATATTTATTTACGTACTGATACAGATTTTGTTTGTAGGCCGTTTATTATCATATACTTATTTATCTGTTTACTGCTCAAAGAAAATCGGGTGATCGTGTGTGGTTAAAACATCACAGCAGGAACGACATAACCCTTTAAACAAAAATCATCTTAACATACACTTGTACATTTCATATTGTTGAGATTTAAAACAGTTTAATGTTGAAGAAAGCTGAATGGACACTTACCCGAACCCCTGCCCAAATTTGTTGACCATACATTCATATACATTAATGAAGCTTTGTCCTTGAACAAAAAATATTTCGAGTACTATATATGCATCTTTTTCATCTTTTGGCATGACGTTAACGATGCCATATATCTATCTTCTTCAGATTTATCTATATTGGTCACTTTTCGGTCAATCTGGCGACTTTTTGTAGTAACTTATAGAGTCTTAAATATGTTCTAATTATGCGATTTTAGCTGGATATACGAGTTATGCTAACGAATTAATTATGTAGCAGGGGTTTACTAATGGAGAGGTACCAATCTACGTTGTAAAAGTCTACGTTCGGCATTATGATATGATTTTCAACTATAGATCTTCAGTGGATAGAAGAACGTTTGAAAAGATAATGGCGACTTCCTGAAAGGATCTCTTGAACTGTTTTATGATATAAATCAGTCAATTAAGCGCAGAAAATGCATACTTTTAAATAGGTTGTTAAAAAGTTTATAACAGAAAGCAACTGTGTGTATTGACTCTTCAATTTTGAATGCTAGACATATACAAAATAAGATACTATGCTTAAAAACATAACGATACAGTCACATATACAGTCATATATATAGAGTTATAACATTAAAAATCTTACAGTCCCAAAACAATAAAAATAAGGCTCACATAGATATACCCCCAACCCCTCACCCATTTCCTCACCCTGTCCCCACTCATTCAGAAACGGTGTACAAGATGTAGTCTGTAATCAGTGTATAAATAAGCTATTTTTGCTAGTGACCTTTGACCCTTTAACCTTGACCGATGACCATGTATTACCACAATTATGTGTTAATATCAACTAAATGTGTTCTGGGGTTCACAACATGCTTTTTATTACGAACAGATGATTTGCCAGTGACCTTTGACCCTCACTAAAGGGGAGGGGCATATAAATGATTTTAGTAATAATTTAAGAACCTGACATACAAGCTATCTTCTACACTATTTTAAAATGTCTGTCAACATATTCACATTTGTCCTTTTTTATTCAGATGATGTGAACGTTAACATCAAACCGCCATCAACATGCCGGAGACGACGAGAGCCTCGTTTGGAGGATGCAAACATTTCGAGTGTCGTGTAATTGGCTATCCTCGGCCAGACATCACGTGGTGGAAAGATGGCCGTGACATCACGACCGATAATCGATATGAATTCGATTATTCTATTGACGGAACAATCACGATGATTATTGAGAAGGTCACGCAGAAAGATCAGGGATGTTATCAGTGCCGTGCTGAGAATTCCGAAGGATGGGCTGCAACAGCGGCTTACCTACATGTCCGAGGTAAGCCGAACATTTCGATATTATTTTTGATTTTATCGTTTATAAGTGATCTTTCCTTTATTTTAGGGGGGATGAGTTTTACTAACACTGTTAAAGTAAATAGGTGGGTGTTCAATAGCGATTTATTGAAGATGGAATAAATTTTGAATTAATACCAAAACCAATATGTCCGCACTAAAGAGATTTCAATAATATAAACAAGTTCTGGAATCGGCTTCTGCTGTTGTCGCTATCTTTTTCTTACTTGTGGTTGACAAGAGACATGGTGTTACTGGCGAAGTCGTAATTATGAACGCAGATATTTTTTTTTTGTATCCTGAAGTCCATTATCGGTCCAATGCTATTAGTTAAACTCAAATATATAAATAAAAAAGGTCCTGTTTTTCATAAATGTGTCCACGTTCCCAATTTCTTTGAAATAAGAAGTTTTGACATGGTAGAATAGAGGTCACAGAACTGAAGATATGAAGAAAAAACGTATAAACATTCCGGATTGAGTTTGTTATAGACAATAAAAACTAAGTTTGTTTTGAACTCAAACAGGAATTGCAAACTTATTTTGCGAGTTTTCAAAAACGTCTGTTTCCTCTGTCAAGCAAAGAGTGTAAATGACCGGTGTCTCGACTCTAAACCGCTGAAAACAACTTACTAAGCCACAGTGGGCCGAATCAAGTAAAGTCAGCTGTCAAAAATCGTAGAGACATTTCGCCCAATATAGTACTCTAGCACCTAGCCTTAATTATTCGTACCAAACTGATGAATCTAATTTCGAATTGCTTACAGATGCTTTGTGAGTTTTGAATAAAGTGATAAATGATCCGTGTTCTGGGAACAAACGTTCTACATGTTAATTGCTTCCATCTGCATCAATGCATTGTTGATTTAGCTATTTGAACTGTCTCCTTTACAACTACTTCGGCTGAGGTAGAAAATATTTCATTGTCACAAATTGTTTGATTAATACCTTAAGGCTGCTAGGATTCATAACATTAAATATACTTAGAACTCGAAACACCACAGAAAAAGTGATAACAATTTTTGAACAATTAATTAATTTCGTGTTTAACGGGATGATTTTGAGTTCACTATTGTGTATTAGAACTAAGGAGATATTTAGATACCAGAATATCAGTCCGAAGGTAACAGTAGGTGCCCCAGTAATTCCTCTACTATTTCTTTATATACAGTAAAGCCTCGATAAAAATGCCCTTTCTTTCATTTGCAACCTCACTTACTGCCAACCAATCTCAAGGCCTATTTTTCCATTTTTTCTTAAGATTCCTTTTTGTCTTCAATTTTCCTTCAATTCATCGCCCAACCTCGGTATAATGCCAACATCAATGGTGTGACTTTAGTTACTCAAAAAAAATAAACATTATCAGAACGCTAATTTCCCATCAAGACATGTAAAACTAACTTTGCATCAAGTAAGAATTACATTTATATACTTTGATAGTTGACGCCATCTGTTATTTATTTCTGTTTAAACTGCTAAACCTAAACACACTAACGTCTTCCAGAAACATGTGGTAGAAATTAATTTACGGTAGGTATTCATGGAATAGGATACTGAAATCAACAATTTTGGGAAACCAAACCGAAAATGAAAATAAAATGTTCCCAGTAATGCAAGGGGTGTCGGAGATTTTTTTTTTATAGATGCAATGCCACAATTTCCGGTTTTGCAGGGAGGTCACATAGGTCGCCTCACAGAAGCATGCACTGATATACAACAGGCCAATTAAGTTGTCCGAACCTGTAGAGTATTTCCTTCTTTTGACTCTGTACTTTAGTACTTCTGTACTAATAGGGAAAACATGCAAGGCGCGCTATCTTGCTTTTCCATTCGGAACATTTCTGTAGGAAACGATAAACCATGACATATGTAGACGTTTGTTTGTGAAAGTCTCTTATCTACGGCAATAACACACCTTTGTGAACGGAAGTATGTGTTTTATTGTGCAATAGACATATAATAAATTCTTCTGTCTCTGTTTATTATTCACCAAAACTCATTGCAGGTCATTAAGATAAAAAGTTAGGCCAATGCAGTGTAATTATATGTTGAACTGGGATGCGCGCAAGTATTAACGTGATTAATCTTTTATAAAACCTACCTCTTCGGAGCTTTTTTGAAAACTTAAATTAAATACGTCACCCTTAGTATTTTCCGTCTCGAAACTTCGTGCAACAATAGAGTTTCTTTCTCCTTTCATACAAACGTTAACAGATATCAACGTACTTGTGCTTCTTTAATGTAATTAGCAGCAAGACTTCATGGCTACTTGCACCCAATAAAACTACGTTTATTATATGATAACACACTGGAAGTGGTTACGCTTGAAAGCAATATGTAACATTCCTTCAGAAAGGTTTCAATCTACATTGAAGAAATGTAACAGTCAACATCACGTGCTGTTTTCCACTATGCGATTTCCGGATGATGTTTAAATTCATCAAGACTTTTTCAGAGGGGTTAAGCTGGTTGGTGACCATCGTGACCGACAATCTTTGCTAGACTTGACAGTTATCCAAACAGGTGCCCAATGTGGTGCTGGAGAGGTGTCCGTTTCCGGAGCACACAATTTCACTTCCGGTCCTTGTTTATAAAGGACCATGATGTCTTCCCTCTTGTTTTGATGCCTCCTCTGGTCCAGTTGTTTTAGTTTTTGTTGAACTTGTGTTCGTGTTTCCTCCTCATGTGATGAGTATGCAACTCTTACGTTCCCTGCTCCCCTGCAATATGTCATGACGAAATCAAAGTATTTGTGCGCGCTACCTTGTTAGATGATAAGAAAAGACTAGTTAACTTATTCGATGTACATTAAAGGAACTGCGCAGCAGCAAAACGGTAAAAACGAATTGCTATTACGTCGGGTGTTCTTCAAAGGACAGGTATCAGACTTGCGTTTAGTAAGGTTTCTTTTTACCTGAAATCAATTAAATAGCTAACCTCGTGTCTTCGATTTTGTCATTAAATATCCCAGGCGTGCAGATAACTTAAGTGAGCGTGACCCCTAGAATTTCTAGGACGGTGATTATGTGGTAGGTTCCTTATCTTATCAGAAATATAAATGTTTTCCAGAATATTTTTTTCTGTAAAGTTATCTGTTGACGCTGTATCATTTTTAATTATATTTTATTTAAGACGCTACATTCCGATGAGTGCAGCGCTATAAAGCATCGACTGCTTTGCATTAATCTCGGCAAGTACACATTTCCTATAAATCCAGATTTCTAACATGCCTTCTATAAGTGCTATGACTGCAATAGTGCATTCCATTTCGCGGAACGTTCCCGTTGTACCAACTTAGAATTGGTCAGCGCGTCCCTAAACTAATATAAAAAAGGAACGATTTCCGGTTCCGGCGTAAAAAATGTGAATCAATGCGGTTTACCGCCTTAACAACCCATGCACTACTGTTTCAAACGTTTACAAACTGTGACGTCACTCGAAGTCGGTAATTATTGTTAAGGCTTATTAAATAGAGTTTAATTTGTCACACATTAACCAATTTACAACGTTGTGAAGATCGGAAACTAAGACTTTTCATTGGCCGCCATATTGGATCCAACTCGGTGCCCTGAAATAAGATGTTCCCGATGAGCTGGTTCGTTCCGTATTAACACAACTGGAATGTTCCGCTAAATGGAACACGTAGTACGTCATTACTATGTCCTTTGTTATTGTTTGGTTCCTATGGTTACGCAACAATAACTTTATTTGCGCTTTTGGTTATGAAATGAACAAACTTTCCAATTTGTGTGATGATCTGTTTATATCTATATTCATTCACGTAAGTTGATTCCAAACACATTTGCCTCACTAAAAGTCGTGCATTTTGCTTGAACATAAGCTCACACAAATGAATTAGTATCAATTGTGTGTCATTCGTTAGCTATCCTCTTTATAACTAGAAATGGAACACATTAACTTATTCTTACAAAACTAATTTGTAGCAGAAATTGTTTTATTTGTTATGTAAAGTAAATATGTGAAAAGCATCAAAATTGTCCGTTTTCCAAATAAACACAAAAACGTAAAGACAGATTTTATTTTATAGTATACTGTAGGGATTAAAAAAAGTAATCAATAAAAATTTAATGTTACTGACGGAGATACGATGGCAAAGCGTATATTACGACATCCGGTAGGAACGCGAAAGTGTTTATACAACCTCCTTTAAATGAACAAAAATAGCTCTTGATACTGATATTATGAGAAAAAGGAAAGCAGAGATAGACGGATTTCTGTAATAAACTGAAGCTGATGTAAAACTCTCTAAAATCTATTTCAGTCCATCTCTCTTCCAAGACCATAACCAGGTGATTGATTCTGAATACTCCCCCTCCCTGAACCAGGGAGGGTGTCAGTGATAGGTGATACAGACGCAACGGCCGTACCGGGCCCGTTATCACTTAAAATCTACGATAACTTCGTCTACGGGATTTGATAGCCTAAATACAAGAAGAGACTTTGAATACATTAAGTGCTCTGTAAATGCATATATATATATATATATATATATATATATTTTAAATCTGGGTGTAAAAATGTTTAATGCCTTATATTGTAGCGTTCATTTTATGTTGTTGTTGCAAGTCTAAAAAAATAAATCCTTGAAAAAAGAGGATACAGAAATTCTCGAACTCGAATTATTAGTTTACTGCCAGATAACGTCCAATTTATTTTCGGAAAGTTGGATACATCCAATATCTTGACTTATTAATTACGATTAATTTCGATTAGGTATGATCTTTTAATGACCTTTGATCCATTCGTTTACCCTGTCGAATTATGCACAATGATAATTGCATATAACATCTTAAATTCAAAATGCCCAAATACAATAATGTGCACCGATATTTCGGATGACAGAACAAATGCTAAACTGAGATATTTCCGAATCTCTACAACGTTTAGAATATTGCTGTTTGCCAATATTTTCATTTTTAATATTTAGCCTAGGCCATAGTCCTTAAGACAGTCTTAGTCATTT